TGACTTCAGTTCCTCCTTGCTTCTTTCTTTCTGATCTATAAAACAACCTGAGCTCAGGAGCCCTGAGCTGCCTGGGACGCCCTCTTCTAAGCTTGTGTGTGCTCCGTGCTTTCCATAATAAAAGTCACAGTTGAGTCACTGAGATATTGCTTCTTGCAAATGTTAGATCCTAGAATACAAGTTCAAGACACAAAGAGTGTGCCCTATATGCTAGAGACTGCAAGGAGTCATGGAGACAGATGTTTGGGCTTTTCTGAGATGGGATTTCAAGCATGTTAAGGCAAATTATCTTATGATGGAGCAGGCAACCGAGGTGCGTTCCATTCTTATCACAGCAGAGGTTTTATAGAACAAGGTTTCTCAGCACGGTGTCTGGCAAGCAGCAAAAGGAGTGGCCGTGGGCTCTTTCTTGGGGGTGGCTTAACCAGTGAGGCAGCGGTACCGTCGGCAGAAACCAGCAATCTCGAGATCAAGCGCCACACTCGGAGAGCTGGAGAACTCAGGTTAATTACGCCGGTGGGCCCAGAGGTGTTAACACTCCAAGCTCTGAGGCCCAAACAAAGGGGTTACAGAGTGTTTATGTAGAGATGATAGTGGGCAACACTAGCTGCTATATGCTGGTTTAAACTAAGGTGTTTCCCACTTGCGGGGACAGTGGTCAAGACGGGGAGGGGGAAGCCTGACCTTTACACGAGCAGGCATGATTAAGCAGGTTTGCATGGGCCGGGCAATTGCAAAGATCAGGACAAGGGTGAGTGAGAGAAGCTCCAGTTCCTAGTATTGTAAGTCCCCACTTTCTGAGACTACCTGACCTACGTGACCCAGACTTTGCAAGGAGCAAGCTGAGTTACAGAGGCAGGACCAGCAGGAGGTTATGTAAAAATTTCCACTTTTCCTCTTCGGTACTGCTCCTTGTTGGGGGTCTCTGACGGGCTCCATTTCTGCAACTGTAACAAGGAGGCCTGACTGCACCATAACTCACTAATAACAAGAGCCCATGTGGCTCACTGGGGATTTACTGTTTTCCAGCTCCTGCCATACAGCTGACAAGGAATGTCTTATTTCATGATCCTGAAACTGCATGGGACGCTAAGGGGCCTTCGCTGGACAGATCCTCCCCCCGCACCCTCTTCTGTGGCTCCTCTCTGAAGTGCCTAGATAATAGCATCTGATGCTCACTTCCTGAGCTGATTTACAGATGCTAAAACCACCACCAAATGGAAGAAATTAGCCACTTGGTGACCCTGAGCACTTAGCCCACAGACCTACTGGCGCCTGAGGGTTGATTCCGTTAACTCCTGCAACAAGGCCCCTTTATGTCTGAGTCAGCCAATCACAGAATTGTGCAGGAGCTGATCACAGCCCCTTCGAGGCCCTCCCCCTCACTTGGCTTTTGAAAACGCTTTGCTGAAGTCCAAAGAGTTGATGCTTTTGAACTGTGGTGTTGGAGAAGACTCTTGAGAGTCCCTTGGACTGCAAGGCGATCCAACCAGTCCATCCTAAAGGAGATCAGTCCTGGGTGTTCATTGGAAGGACTGATGCTGAAGCTGAAACTCCAGTACTTTGGCCACCTGATGAGCTGACTCATTTGAGAAGACCCTGATGCTGGGAAAGACTGGGGGCAGGAGGAGAAGGGGACGACAGAGGATTCGATGGTTGGATGGCACCACCCACTCAATGGACATGAGTTTGGTGGACTCTGGGAGTTGGTGATGGACAGGGAGGCCTGGCGCATCAGAGTTCAGGTCTTTTAAGCGCTAGATGCTTGGACTCCTTCCCTGGTGCCCTCTAATAAACCCTGTGCTTTCCTTCAACACAACCCAGTGTCAGGCTTTTCTGTGCAAGTGAGCAGACCCAAGTGTGGTTTGGTGACAATCCTACACTAAGTGTTCAGACTCCCAAGTGGATCTGGATATGTTTCCAGTTGGGAAAATTTCAGGTTTTGGAGGTTAACTTGTCATCATGGAGCCAAGAGCCCCCTTCCCTGAATTTGTACACAGTCTTGCAGTGGGGCCAGCGTTGTTTGTTTGTTTGTTTTTTAGAGGGAACTGATCTCCCCCTGCTCCTGGAATTCTATTAAATATGCTCAATTCTGCTTCTTTCTGTTCTTTCTTCCACCTAACAAATACTTACCAAGTCTCCATATGCACCCAAGTGTGCAGAAATTCTGTACGTAGGATCCTGGTCTTCAAGATCCAGCCAGAATCTCTTCATCCCAAGATACCACCTACCCTCTTCTGATAGGCCTGGTTCAGCCAAAGTGCATTCTTTCCTTTGTTCAGGCAAAAACTGTCACCCACAGCTCCTGGCCTGTAACACACACGTTTATTTGGGACCATTCGATTACCATCGCTGAATGTCCGAACCTTTGCTGCCCTCTAGTGGCTGGTCTGAAGATAATCCCTTGTTTTCAGGGGTTGTATTTAACTTTTCACCTATTTTTTTCTTTGCTTTAGTTTCCCCGCTTTGCTTTACTTAAAAAAAAAAAAAAATCAAGATTATGTCTTATTTAAAAATGTTATTAATACATTGCACCAAGGTCTATATCATACTGTATATGTAATTTAAAAAGAAAATTCACACCATTTTTGTTTACATAGGGTTAGGGTTAGGTAGACATTAAAATTTTACTGGCCTGAGGATTCAGCTTATAAGCACACATGGCTTTATAATCTTATGGAGCTTGCCAAATTTACTCCAATTGGTGAAATCAGCAGTCTCATATTTATTTGTTAGCCTAAACTCTTTCCCTAACATACCCACACATTTTCAGAATTAAAATTTGCTTTAAAACAAAGTGTCATTTAGTTTCAACCCTGAGAGATCAGTTGGTAAAGAATCCACCTGCAATGCAGGAGACTCCGGTTGATTCCTGGGTCGGGAAGATCCGCTGGAGAAAGGAAAGGCTACCCATTCCAGTATTCTGGACTGGAGAATTCCATGGACTGTATAGCCCATGGGGTCGCAAAGAGCTGGACAGAACTGAGCGACTTTCACTTTCACTCCCATTGCCTGTGGCAGCCTGTCTGCCTTGTGCTGGGTGCTCTGGGCACAGCAGTCAGAAACCTGCCTCCGTCCTCTGAATTCAGCTCATGAATTACTCCAAGAAGCCTCTTCTCTCCCCCCTGGCAGGCCCGGAATCTGCCTTCCAGAGACCTGCTCCTGCTTCAGGACTTCCAGCGGGCTCATCACTGTAATCACCCCCTCGTTTGTCTCACCCCACGCAGAGCCTCTCCTCTTTCCTGCATCCCTCTGGAGCTCTGACATTCAGTGGGAGCCCAGCATTATCGGGGCTCTTTAATGAATGTTTGGTGAGTGAATGGAGACCCCAGTGAGACAAAGGTTCAGCAGAGTACATTACTAAAACTGCAGAACCAGTGTCTCATTCCGATTAGAACAATTAGGAACAGAAGTCCCAATGGATGAGAATTCAGGTAAATGGAAAAGGTGGATGAAGATTTTAGGCTATGCTGCTTTTTTCATAGCATATTTAACAAACTACTGTAACCTCTTTGTACTGAAGCTTCCACAAAACCCCGCAAGGATCAGATTCAGAGTTTTCAGGTCAGTGAGGAGGTGGAGCTTAGGGGAGAGTGGTGTCTGGAGAGGGTAGGGTAACCCCACAACCTTCCCCATTCCTTGCCCAAGCATCTCTTCCCTCTGGCTGTTCCTGAGTTACATACATCCTTTTATAATCAGCCTATATTCTGGTAAAACATTTCCTTGAGTTATGTCAGCTGCTGTAGCAAATTGATGGAATCCGAGGAGGGGGTCATCATTACTTTGTCAACAAAGGTCTGTCTAGTCAAAGCTATGGTTTTTCCAATAGTCATATATGGATGTGAGAGTTGGACCATAAAGAAGGCTGAGTGCCAAAGAATTGATGCTTTTGAACTGTGGTGTTGAAGACTCTTGAGANGAACCTTTCTTATCCCCCAAAACTTGTAACTCACCATAATGGGACAATGAAGCATACACAGTGAACTAGGTAATTTGAAGCCATGCTAAACTTACAAGTTTCTCCCTCCAAATACCCCCCAATCCTGCTTAAGTTGTCTTTTTCACATCTTTATACCTTTATGAAAAAAAGGCTCACATACCAATACAAAATTTTATTAACTAAAGGATTACTTCTGCGTAAATCTATAATTCTATATGTTCATACACAAACCTATTTTCCTTGCTCCTTTTCTTACCATATATTACTTCCTCTAATAAAATACAAAAGAAAAAAATAGGAGATAAAATTTCTTACATTTGTTAGAAGAGCAAGTAAAAGTCTCTCAAGAATATATTTTCAGTTAGCAGATAACCATCACAAGACAGAAGACTTTTAAAAATATGACACTCACTCCTTTATTGTACTTGATCAGTTCTGTTTGATGTATAAAAGTATCTATGATAAAGTATTAAATAAAGATTAATTTTAAATTTGCTACTGGTAAGTGCTTAAAACTCAACATTGAAAAGACTAAGATCATGGCTCAGGTCCCATCACTTCATGGCAAACAGATGGGGAAACAATGGAAATGGTGGCAGGTTTTATTTTGGGGACTCCAAAATCACTGCTGATAGTGAGTGTAGACACAAAATTAAAAGACGCTTGCTCCTTGGAAGGAAAACTATGACAAACCTAGACAGTGTATTAAAAAGCAAAGACATCACCTTGCCGACAAAGGTCCATACTGTCAAAGCTATGGTTTTTCCAGTAGTCATGTATGGATGTGACAGTTGGACCATAAAGAAGACCGAGTTTTGAAGAATTGATGCTTTTGAACTGTGGTGTTGGAGAAAACTCTTGGTGTCCTTTGGCCAGCAAGGAGATCAATCCAGTCAATCCTCAAGGAAGTCCACCCTGCATATTCATGGGAAGGACTGATGCTGAAACTGCAATACTTCGGCCACCTGATGTGAAGAACTGGCTCACTGGAAAAGATCTTGATGCTGGGAAAGATTGAGGGCAGGAGGAGAAGAGGGCTGCAGAAGATGAGATGGTTTGATGGCATCACTGACTCAATGAGTTTGAGCAAAACTCCGGGAGATGGTGAAGGACAGGGAAGCCTGGCGTGCCGCAGTCCATGGGGTTGCAAAGAATCGGACTCGACTTAGTGACTGAATAACAACAAAAGTGTATACATAGTACAAGGAAACAAGAGACCCTTTTCAGATCATTCCATAAATAAATGGCTAATTTGCAAGTTCTTTCACTATGTGAGCTCATAAGTCCATATTCATTCTTATTACCAATGACCACCTGAGTTTTGAGAAAATAGTTTTCCTTGTAAATAGTCCACTAATTCCAGTCTTGATTTTAGCATCTCAATCTCATAATATGGTATCTGTGAAGAGAAGAAAAGAAAGCCATCATGAGCCTTCATAATCTGAAATCACCTTGGCTTCGGGTACCCTGTCCGTCCATCATGCCCGCCCCCTAGGTGGAACGTCGGCTCCGGGGGGGAGGGCATCACAACCGGCTCACGTGTCCCATGTGCCCAGAGCCTGTGACGGTGCTGCCAGCGCTGAGAGGGGTGACCGGACAAGCACTAACATGATCCTTGTCCCCAAGGAGCCTACAAGCCAGGCATCAACTTAAAATAAGCAATAAATACAAAAAATGAGCACAAATTACAAAGAACATCACGCTTTAGCACTGAGAGGGAGCTTCTGACACTTTACAGTAGGGTGAGAGGTCGACCTCACTGGGAGTCATGAAGGACTAGAACTGGGACCCCCCGAGAGGTGGGGCCACCTGAGTGGCCTGGGCGAGGGAGAAAGGCCAGAAGTGAGACCGCTGAGCTTCGAGCAGACGGCCTGGCTTCAGGCAAGACCACGGAGTGTCCGGAATGCTGAGATGCAGAGGAGTTTGACTTTATCCCATAAGCGGTAAGGAAACAAGGAAGGTTTCTGAGCACACTGGCAATGATTTGTTTTAGAAAAATTAATCTGGGTGTGTACAAGACAGAGTGGAAAAAAGTAACCACACAGGAAAGCAGAGAGCAGGGTGGTAGACAGCTTGGGGACAGGAACCTTCAGTACACGCACGGTGACTGCTCACTTAAGACCCTGTTGAGTGATCCTCAATGTAAAGACAAGTAAGAGTCTTAGACACTAGGAGTCGGTGAAGGTCCTGGTTTTAATGGGCCATCTTGTCCATTTTATTCATTGTATCAAGGGAAGTTAAAATAGTCTAGTAATCTAGCAATTCTAAAAGCAAAGTAAAACATAGCTTATATAGAATTTAGGGATGTCGCACTTTTGGAAAACAAGTTTAAAAACCCTGTTTCAAAGTACCAATCAGGAGATGAGCTGTCCGGAATGCTGAGATGCAGAGGAGTTTGACTTTATCCCATAAGCGGTAAGGAAACAAGGAAGGTTTCTGAGCACACTGGCAATGATTTGTTTTAGAAAAATTAATCTGGGTGTGTACAAGACAGAGTGGAAAAAAGTAACCACACAGGAAAGCAGAGAGCAGGGTGGTAGACAGTTTGGGGACAGGAACCTCCAGTACACGCACGGTGACTGCTCACTTAAGACCCTGTTGAGTGATCCTCAATGTAAAGACAAGTAAGAGTCTTAGACACTAGGAGTCGGTGAAGGTCCTGGTTTTAATGGGCCATCTTGTCCATTTTATTCATTGTATCAAGGGAAGTTAAAATAGTCTAGTAATCTAGCAATTCTAAAAGCAAAGTAAAACATAGCTTATATAGAATTTAGGGATGTCGCACTTTTGGAAAACAAGTTTAAAAACCCTGTTTCAAAGTACCAATCAGGAGATGAGCGTAATGAACAAAGTTGGCATTTAACGAGACATTAGTCTTGGTCCATTGAGCTGACACACCATTTAGTACCCTGGGAAAAGCAAATCTGAACTAGAAATGGCTTTTAGGAAAAAAAAAAAAAGGCAAAACCGTACCTGGACAACTTGATAACCAAGCAAGTGCAGGTGTCTTTGTTTAGTAGCCTCCTTCCCCAGTAAGTGTTTGCTATTCAGACAAAACCTTTTTGGACCATCAATGCACAATGCTACTCTAAAAAACAGAACAGGAGAGAGGAACTTCATTTTTATAACAATCCAAAATATTCATACAGTTTTAGTTGCCAGAGTTTATTTGGGATTTGGCCATGCCCTTGTGCCCATACTGTTTTCAAATGTCTCATGACTGTCATCCAATTATCTGATGAAAAAAGCACTCAACTTTACCAACATTAAGGTTCACAAAATGTTACAAAGAATTTCTAAAACTGGTATGCCATAGTGTTTATCTCCAGAACCATGTCTACCTTTTCCACTTTCTTAAGAAACAATCCTTGTGTATTAACCTGGACAAGTCTCGTAATGTACAGACCACAACGGTTTTCTTTACCTTTTATGTACATCTTCATCAGTTGTAAAGGGTAATACAAATCCGTCTTCATCTAATTTAATTTCAACATCTGGTGAGAGAAGAAAGGAAAAAGTCTTCGTGTGATACCCTCACAAACACTAGCTTCCTTCCCTTCTGGCTGTTTTGATTTCTTCCGCACTGCGTTTATCAACTGGGCAGAAGGCTGCAAAGTAATAACCACACCAGACAATGGTGAGAACTTTAACTTAATCAGAGCTTTGCCCAAACACATCAGGGTAAACTAAGAGGGCTCCCCTGCACTCGAACAAGGAGGGGGCCCTCCGGGTCCCCGGGGCACGACGTGAAGCACACACACTTTCACTCTCTCGGTAACAGATGGTNACACCAGACAATGGTGAGAACTTTAACTTAATCAGAGCTTTGCCCAAACACATCAGGGTAAACTAAGAGGGCTCCCCTGCACTCGAACAAGGAGGGGGCCCTCCGGGTCCCCGGGGCACGACGTGAAGCACACACACTTTCACTCTCTCGGTAACAGATGGTAGGAACAGTGAAGACGATCCTACACAACTGGCACCCAGCGTCCCCGCGCTCTGGTGCCCCAGGGGTGGGTGAGGCGGCCAGAACCCTGATGCGTGGGCCCTGGGCATGCAGCCTCCCCGTCCTTCCCTGTAAAAGCAGCTCATGAAGTAGGGGAGTGAGACGTGACCATGTGAAGCCCAGGAACACTGTCCTCTTTGAGCTGACTGTCCTTGACGCAACAGTGTGAAAAGAGAAGGCCCTTGACTCTCTAGGCAGTGCCGTCCAGCAAAACCTTCAGCGATGACGGAAACACTTATACCAGGTAAGGAGCACTTCAAGGGTGGCTAGTGCACCTGGGGACCTGAACGATGAATTTTTAGAACTGCAACTGGTTTAAATTTATACAGCGCCCAGCATGTGTGGCTACTGTATTGGACAGCAGCCTAGAGGACAAGTGCTCGTGCGCTCAGTTGTGGCTGACTCCTCGTGACCCCAGGGACTGCAGCCCACCAGGCTTCTCTGTCCTTGCGTGGAATTTTCCAGGCAAGATTACTGGAGTGGGTTGCCATTTCCTTCCCCAGGGGATCTTCCCGAGCTGGGGATCAGACCCGTGTCTCCTGCTTTGGAGGGAGGGTTCTTTACCTCTGAGCTGCCTGGGCAGCCCCGAGAGGACAAGAACAGCTGACAACTACTGAGTACTTACTGTGTCCTGGGTATTAGTCTGAGCTACTTCGTTTGTTTACTTTGGGTCACTATTCCTCTAAAATGAATGCCCCGCAAGGATGCCCAAAGACATTCTGCTGCATGAGGCTAACCTGCAGGACTCCACCCAGAGTCCTGACCCTTCATCCCTACTGCCCACCCCTGTTCCCATTTGCCTTCAGTGAGGGACCAGCTCCACTTTGTTTCCAGACCAGTGGTGGCTACTAAGGCCCACATGTTCCATCAGAGGACTGTATGCCAAGGTTTAGTTAACAACAAAACTCCCCACTACTTACCTATTGTGTAGCAATAGGGTGTTAACACTTTTGAAGCAAAATACAGTCTTGCTCCTAACAAGTCGATCAGTCCAATCATCACAGATTTATAAAGGTGAAAATCCATGGGGGTCTCCAGGGAAGAGCATGGAGTAAGAAAGGATTTCACTTGAAACTTAGGAAGAAGTTTTGGACCCTAAAAATGTATGCGCAAACGTGAAAAAGAAAAATAAGATACAAAACCAGAGAATAAAATGAATGCTGCCTGAGTATAAAAATCTGACCCAAAATTACTTTATAGACAGGATGTGTCTCTAAGACTTAGCACAAATAACTCTCTCAAAATGGCAATACCAAATATTCTTTCTGTAAAAAAACGTTTCATTTTGAACTGGGGTATAGCTGATTTAACAAACAGTGTTGAGAGTTTTAGGTGAACTGGGAAGGGACTCAGCCATGTACATACAAGCATCCATTCTCCCCCAAGCTCCCCTCCCCTCCAGGCCGCCACGTAACACTGAGCGGAGTTCCCTGTGCTACCCCTGGCTGGTTATCCGTTTTAAATACAGCAGTGTGCACATCTCCAACCCAAACCCCCTAACTATCCCATCCCCTTAACCTTCCCCTTGGCAACCCTAAGTTCGTTCTCGGAGTCTGAGTCTCCGTTTTGTAAGTAAGTCCATCTGTATCATTCCTTTTAGATTCCACACATAAGGGCTATCATACAACATCTCTCCTTCTCTGACTTCACTCAGTATAATACTCTCTAGGCCCATCCATGTTGCTGCCAATGAGACAATGCCAAACATTCCTGTTATAGTTCAAGAACAATAATTCAAAATATCTTTTAAATGTGTTATAAATGTAGTCAGTGGTCACAAGAAGAAAAAAAGGATGGAAGGAAGGAAGAGAAAGAAAGCAAGCCAGCTCAAGAAACATCCCTAGAGCTCTTAGAACCACTTTAAGGGGCTTGAGGCCACCCAACTGAGTTTTCAATAGTGGAAAATGTGATAGAGCTGACATTTCAATTTAGTAAGAAAAGGAAAGCTATGCAATGGTGCTAGTAATTGGTTATCCATCTGGAAAAGAAATAAGCTACAGTTCTGCCACACATTACAGACTTTAATCAACTTCAGATACATTGAAGATCTAAATGTAATAGGAAAATAGTATTTTTTAAATTCAGTAAAATATACTACCTTAGGAGTCACAAAATATTCAAAAACAACACAGGAAACCCAGCAGCCATAAAAAATGAACTGATTTGACAATAGAAAACAAAAATTTCTGTGTAGCAAAAAGGCATCATAGACAATATTAACTTGAAACTAAAAAAATTTAAAACAACAAACCAGGAGAACATATGTGCAACACACATAATAGTTAATGTCTTTTACAATGTGTTTTAGGGCTTCCCTGATAGCTCAGCTGATAAAGAATCTGCCTGCAACGTGGGATACCTGGGTTTGATCCCTGGATTGGGAAGATCCCCTGAAGGGAAAGGCTACCCACTCCAGTTTCTGGCCTGGAGAATTCCATGGAGAATTCTATACAGTCCATGGGGCTGCAAAGAGTTGGACACGACTGAGTGACTTTCACTTTCACTAGGACAAAAAAAACAAAACAAAAAAGACAAACCCTAAGAAATAAGAATTAAGGCATAACGACGCAATTCACAGCAAATGTAAATAACCAATAAACACGTGAAAATACATTCAACTTCATTACTGCTCATTAAAATGCAACTGAAGCATGTGACATGACATTTCATTGAGTCGAATGACAAAATTAAAGGCGCTAAGAACATACTGTGACAGAAATTGGGGGAGACAGTCACTTTCATTCACTGCTGGTGAAATGAGGCATCTACAACTATTAGGGGGAAATAAATCCATCAGTGTTTGCCGAAAATTAATCCAGCCATCCAGAGGACGAGGCAGTTGGACGGCATCACAGACTCAATGGACAGGAGTGTGAGCAAGCTCCAGGAGATGGGGAAGGACAGGGAAGCCTGGCGGGCAGCCCATGGGGTCTCAAAGAGTCGGACACGACTGAGCAACTGAACAGCAACATCCCACGGTCAGGAACCTATAGTCTTTAGATTAAAACAACAGAAGGGCTCCAGCATGAAAGGGTATGTACGCACGTTTATGATAGCACAGCTGATGGAGACGGCACTGGAAAAGGCCTGTAAGTCCACCCACAGGTGGAGTTGTTAGAAAAAAGTCTGCCTGGTAGCAACTGACTCCAAGTGAATGAAAACTCTGTTTTTTAATGTGGTTACTCAGCTCAAAAGAGAAGGAACTTAAAAGATGACTGGGGGTGGGGGGGTGATGGGAGCAGTGGTGGAGGGGAAGAAGGAAGCAAAGAAACCCATCCCTGTAGGGAAATTAAGCAACGAGCTCATGCTTTTACCTTATAGAATGGGCATTCTAGAATCGAGGTTAAGAAGAGTTGGGTCAGTTGCGCTAGGCTCAGTCTGTCCAAATAGGACTCTTCACCTGAAACACAAAGCATCTCAGTCAGAGTTAAGTTTGAACTCTGGTGTGTGCAATCAGAGGAAAGAATAGCCAGAATGCACAACGTTAACTGTGACCGTAAAGAAGCACTGAGCACTAAAGAACTGACGCTTTTGAACTGTGGGGCTAGAGAAGAGTCTTGAGAGTCCCTTGGACTGCAAGGAGATAAAAACAGTCAATCCTAAAGGAATCAGTCCTGAATATTCATTGGAAGGACTGATGCTGAAGCTGAAGCTCCAATACTTTGGCCACCTGAGGTGAAGAGCCAACTCACTGGAAAAGACCCTGATGCTGGGAAAGATTGAAGGCAGGAGGAGAAGGGGATGACAGAGGATGAGATGGCTGGATGGCATCACGGACTCAATGGACATGACTTTGAGCAAATTTCGGGAGATGGTGAAGGACAGGGAAGCCTGGCGTGCAGCAGTCCATGGGGTCTCAAAGAGTTGGACATGACTGAGCGACTGAACCACAACAATGTTAATTAATTCACTCTAATAAGATACCTTTAAATGACACTAGGGAAATAACTTGTTAGAATTAATGATGCCCTCCTGCCTGTCATCAATGAAATCTCATTCTGGCTTTCAAGAATGCAAGCTCCTAACTGGAGAATATAATTAAAAGTGACAAATACATGTTAGAATTAGAATTAGTGGGGATTCCTTTTACCTATGGAGATCTAGATTCTTACAGATTTGGGTGGTTTTGAATTAACATGAACATCTCTCAAAAAAAGGACAGGATGTCCCTGGTGGTTAAGTGGGTAAGACCCCAGGCTTCCACTGCAGGGGGCATGTGTTTGATCCCTGGTCAGGGAAGTTCCACACGAGACCAGTTAAAGGAAAAAGAGTGATACAACTGCCGTCATCAAAGTTCCTAAACATGTTATTATGATACTGACATTGTCATCACCAGATTTCTACAAGAAGATTCAGGTTCTCAGCTAGGGCAGCAGAGTCTGTTTACCCAAAAATGCTTTATCTCTCCAAGCAATGTTCTACCAGTCTTTAACCCTGTGTTTATGTTAGCACCTGCAGCTTCAGATCTCTTCTTCAGATCATAGTGGAAGAAAAAATAAAGGCTCAATAAAAAAGGTACATGCTGTGTGTGTGTGCTTAGTCGCTCAGTTGTGTCTAACTCTTTAGAGGGGTAGCCCATCGGGCTCCTTTGTCTGTGGGATTTTTCAGGCAAGAATACTGGAGTGGGTTGCCATCTCCGTCTCAAAAAAAAAAAAAAGAAAAGCTATATACGTGACTTGAAAACATCAAGTTCAAATGCCAAGTTTCCTACTCTCAGAAGTTATAACCAACTCACCTTGAAGCTGCTGGAGAAAATATGGGCTGAATATCTTGGCCATAAAGTTGACCGGATGGCGCTCAATAAGTGAACAAGAGTGGAGAAGCTTCAGCAGTGTTTTTGGGGGAAAATGATTGAAGTGGGTTAACAGCATGTTTTCGAGCTTTCTAAATAAAGCAGAAGCATTTGGTGGCAAATAGTTGAGTTTTCCAAATGGCTCAATTAACTCGGCAGTTTGACTAGGTGAAAACTTTTCTGTTTGACAAACAAAAGCTTCTGCCACTGCATTGAAGATGGGCTCTGAGAGGATCAGCTTTCTGCTGCAGTACTCCATGGCTCTGCTGAGAAGCTCAGGATCCAGAGTGAGACACAGTGAGGCAACATGCTGCTCCAGGGTTTCTGTAAAGAATCTGTCACTGTGCCCAAAGTATATGAACGCCTCTAAGACCTTTCTGAGCTCTTCACTAGTGAAACGAGCGATGTGCCGCACGGCGTATTTACTCAGCTTGATCACCAGGGGAAGTGCCTGAGTCTGATCAAGGACCACTAGGGCAGTGAGCATCTGGCTCATCAACTTAGGACTCAAGTTGGAAACCAGTGATAGAGAAAAGTGATTGATCTTATTTAAGAACCTCTGCTGTTGGTCTGCTTTTTCAGGACTCGCCTGCAGTAGTCTGTAAAGGGTCACAATATCCTCGGGGGTAAATGTTTCCAAACTTTCCCCTTGCAGTTGATATATGATCAGGTCTAGCGTCGAACAACCTGGGCCGTGCAGTTTAATCAGACTTTCCCCCAGAATACAAAGACTATGTCTGTCCAGGCCGCCCCTTTCAAGACGATGCTGGCATTCTGCCTCCAGGTTCATCAGCAACTGACTCTGGGCATCCCCATACAACAGAGTCAGGGCTTGAAAAGCAGTCACCAAACCCGCATTTGACAGATTCGAGGGATCCCGTCCAAACCGATCACACAAAGCTTGAAAGGCACTACTCTCCAGTATTTCTTTCGGCAACCTTTGATTTTTTTTTTCCACTTCACAAATCCGACGTAAGGCTTCTGCCATCATAGTATCAGGCAAAGTCTCCAGTGTGCTTATAAAACGTAAGACTTCTCCTGATGAAGTGAAGCTGTTTATTTTCCTGTAAAACATCTGTTCCTCCACATTTTTAACATTGTGCTCAAATCTGTCCCAGTTGTGTACTTGAGAGAACCCTGGCTCCCCAACTGGATGGAGGTCATTTCCGTTTTCTGAATGAAACTTCTTACAATGGGCATGATGGAACCGGACTCTGATGGGCCCAGGTTGCAGCGACCAGAACCATGGACACAGATGCTCTTTCACTGTCCTGTGAACATGATTTACATGCTGAGTTTTTAGAGCAGCCAGAGCTCCATGTATCCGAAAATCAGATAAGTGACAGAGGTTCCTCCGTAAGGTAACTAAAGCCATGCCATCAGATTCTCAGCTCCTCTTGAGTTACAACTATGTTTAAAATACTAAAAAAAAAAGAAAAAAAAGTGGTCAAATATATTAGAGCACAGTTCATTCAACATCAATGCTTATGAAACTAAGGATGAGTACCGAAAAGGAGTCATTTCCACTAAACATCTCCCACTCAAACATTAGTACCACGTTACTTAGATGTAAAAAAAGAACAAAATTGTGCCATTTGCAGATACTTGGATGGAACTAGAGACTGTTATACAGAGTGAAGTAAATCAGAGAGAAAAACAAATATCCTATATTAATGCATATATGCGGAATTTAAAAAATGGTATAGATGAACTTATTTGCAAAGCAGGAACAGAGACAAAGACATAGAGAACAAGGGGGTTGGAGGGGTGGGATAGGTGGGGAGACTGGGATTGACATATAAACACTACTGATACTACATATAAAATAGATAACTAAAGACAGTGACTGTGGGCATGAAATTAAAAGACGCTTGCCCCTTGGAAGAAAAGCTATGTCAAACCTAGACAGTGTGTTAAAAAGCAGAGACATTACTTTGCCGATAAAGATCTGTACAGTCAAAGCTATGGTTTTTCCAGCAGTCGTGTATGGATGTGAGATTTGGACCATAAGGAAGGTTGAATCCCAAAGAATTGATGCTTTTGAACTGTACTGCTGGAGAAGAGTCTTGCGAGTCCCTTGGACTCAAGGAGATCCAACCAGTCAACCCTCAAGAGACTCAACCCTGAATATTCACTGGAAAGACTGATGCTGAAACTGAAACTCCAATCCTGTGGCCACCTGATGCAAAAAGCCAACTCACTGGAAAAGAACCTGATGCTGGGAAAGATTGAAAGCAAAAGGAGAAGAGGACGACAGAGGATGAGATGGTTGGATGGCATCACCGACTCAATGGACATGAGCTGGAGCAAACTCCAGGAGAAGGTGAAGGAAGGGGAAACCTGGTGTGCTGTAAGCCATGGAGTCACAGTGCCTGACATGACTGAGTGACTGAACAACAATAACAAATGAGAACCTCCTGTAAGCACAGGGAACTCTACTCAGGGCTCTGTGGTGACCTAAACGGGAAGGACATCCAAAGAAGAGAGGATGTGTGTATACATGTGTCTGATTCACTTTCTTGTATAGCAGAAACTAACACAATATATAGTTGTAAACTAACACAAAATAGTTGTAAGGCAACACCTATACTGCAATGAAAACAAACAACAGCAAAAGGCCTAAGTACCAGAAGAGTGACTCTGCAACCTAGAGCTTAGAATTGAAACTGTTTACCTCAGATTGGGACTCGAACTTACATGCCCGGACTCGAACCCAGCCAAAACCCTGCCTGGGACTTCAACCCACGTGGCTGGGATTCCAACCTAGCCAAAACCCTGCTTGGGACTTGAACCCACATGGCTGGGACTCCAACCCAGCCAAAGCCCACAGTACCTGGTTTCAGGACCTAATGAAGCTCAAGTTCTCGATGAATTCAGTGAGACAAAGTGATAGGTAAGAAGTGGATTTACTCAGATACAGAGAGAAGCACACTCCATGGAATGTGGGTCATCGCAGAGGGTGAATGTGGCCGCGAAATTAGGTGTGGTTAGTTTTTATAGCCTGGGTAATTTCATACGCTAATGAGTGGGAGGATTATTCCAACTATTTTTAGGACGGTGTGGAGATTTCCAAGATGTTACAGAAAAGCGGTTGGATCTCATAATCATCGCTATCATTTGCCAGGCAATGTTATGTTTAATTCTCCCAACAACACAATGAACTAAGTACTTTAACGTCATCTTAGAAATGAGGAAACCGAAGCACAGAGATCTCACGTTGTCCAGTTCACACAGCTAGTAAGCGGCTGAGCCAGACTTCACCTTGGGTAGTCTGGTTCCTACGCACGCCTCCTATGTGTTGGCTGAGGGAAAGAACTGCACTTGGTGCAACGTCCTCAAAACACACAACTGAAGTGACCATTAATTCACACGGCAAGGGTGAAAAGAGCAGCTTCAAGATCTCCGAGGGGTCGGTTTCCCCTCAGAGTTAGGATCTGGCACAAGGTCTAACTTTGCAGATGGAGGGGGGGAAAAAAATTAAAACGCTTATCAACGAAGGGGAAATGTGGCCGGCCCATCCATCCCTGACCAGCCCCGCTGTGGGAGACCCAGGAACACGAGGGTGCGGGACAGCGGGGGACGGGGCGCCCGAAGGGGGAGCCGCGTCCTCTCTGGAGGGAGAGGACCTGACTGGCCGGGCGCCCCCAAAACGAGCGCCGTGGAATCCTACGCTCACGCACCGGGAAGGGCGGGAACCGCGTCTGAAGAGCGGGACGGCGAGCCGGGGAAGGAGTGTGAGGCCACGCACGCCGGGACAGCCAAGCCCACAGCCCGCCTGGATACCTACCGGACTCCGCGCACGCCGGGTCCCAGCAACCCACGCGGCTCCGCAGCCTCACCGGCCTCCGTAACTCTCGCCCTTCACCGGAGGGGGCCTACGGTGCTCGAGCCAGGAAGGGGCGGGCGCCCCACGTCCAGGCGCGCGGTGATTGGCCTCAGCTCCTTTTCCCGAGCCTCCTTATTGGTCCCCGGCGCGAGGCGGTGTGCGCAGGCGCGGGAGCCGGGGCCTGCGGACCCTGAGCTTTTTCCTCGGCAGCCCGGCCGGATTCCTTCAGGTGAGTGTACCCAGCGATTGCCGTTGCCAGATCTGGGCGATCGGCGGCGCCCTCCGCGTCCGTCCTGCCGGCCCAGGCTGGACGCGCGCGGGGAGGAGGTCAGGACTCCAGCCTGGCAGGGCTGAGGGCGGGCTGCGCCGGGGACTCGGCCCTGCGCCCTCACCGTCGCCTCCCGGAGGCGCCGCGGGGCGTGCAGAACGGCGGTCCGCAGGTCCTTGTGGGCCGTTCCTCCTTCGGGGTCTGTGGTTCCGAACACTTTTCCTAGACGGGAGTCTAAGGGCACTTTGGGGCACCGGGTTATGGGGAGGGACGCGGGAGGCAGGGACGCGGGGGACGCGGACCAGCTGCACGCGCTGGTTCTCCGCCGCGACCTTGTCCCGCGGGTGCCGGGGCCCCACCCCCTGAGAAACGTGGGCTGCAAGTGGCTGCTCCGTAAGGTGGTTGAGGGGCCGAGGGTTTCACGCAGCGAGAATCTTGGACGGTGTCTGTGGCTCCTGCGAAGTGCCCCAGGTCCTTGGCTTGGATAGTGTTTGAAGCCCTTTTCATCACTGCGCTGTCGTGCTTCTGGCTCAGCTCCATGTGTAGTGTCAGCGTGTCGTCCCCTTACCCATTTATCAAAAGTTAGAAAGAAGAAAGATAGTGCTCAATCGTGTCCGACTCTTGCGATCCCATGGACTGTAGCCCGCCAGGCTCCTCCGTCCGTGGGATTTTCCAGATAATACTGGAGTGGATTGCCATTTCCTTCTCCAGGGGATCTTCGCGACCCAGCAATTGAACCCAGGTCTCCCGCAATTGCAGGCAGATGCTTTACTGACTGAGCTATGCGGGAAGCTTTTTTTTTTTTTTCAATCCAGAGTTAACCTCTTGCGTACCCGCTGTGTCCAGCGCTGTTTTGTTCCACAGGTTGTTCCCTGCTTTTAGCATCCTGCTTGTTAATACTGTGCTTTTACCTTTTAATTCCTTCGTGTCTTTAAGTTGTCCTCAGATCTAGTTGGCCAGAGGAGCAAAAAAGTATCTGCGGTTCGTTCCCCAAAAACCAAGTTTGGGGTTTGAGTTTCAGTTTGCCCTGCGTGCTTAAATCGCTTCAGTCGTGTCCTACTCATTGTGACCCCATGGATTGTAGCCTGCCAGGCTTGGCAACCCAGTCCAGTATTCTTGCCTGTAGAATCTCATGGGCAGAGGAGCCTAGTAGAAGTAGTTTAGTTGCTAAGCCGTGTCCGACTTTTGAGACCCCATAGACAGTAGCCTGCCAGGCTCCTCTGTCCATGGGATTCTCCAGGCAAGAATACTGGAGTGGGTTGCCATGCCCTCCTCCAGAGAATCTTCCCAACCCAGCGATCTAACCGGGTGTCTCTTTTATCTCTTGGGTTGGCAGGCAGGTTCTTTACCAGTAGTTCTACCTGGGAATCCTGAATCCTTACGTATTGACAGTCTGTCAGGTTTAGACACTTGAGGTGTGGTGAAAAATCTGCGAGCCCTTTATTTTACTCCTGGTTATCTGTTCAGGAAAAAACATAAAACTAGTAAAAGATTTGAGTGGCTTAAAAGTGTTTCTCTCTGTTTAGGTATGTAAGGAATGTAGGTATGTAAGGTATGTAGGTATGTAAGTATGTCTACACATGCATGCAGATGTATATGATATTGAATTAAATAAGAAAGGTATTAACTAGAGTACTGTGATTTATTTAGTATTGGGATCAAGTAGGAATCAATTTTAATCGCGTTTTTTACCATTTTAGTGAATTTTTAACTTTACCTTTTTTTAAGAGAGCAAAGGTATCTGAAATTTATTGGACACTGCTGTGTGTCTCACCATTGTCTTTGTCAGGTAGGTACTGTCATTGTCCCCACTCTAAAGGTGAGAGAACCAAGAGAATGGTCAGTTGAGAAGCTGGCCTGAAGTTCCCCTCCTGTGAATGGTCAACTCCTGGCTGGATTCAGGCCCCGGTAGTCTGGCCCCAGAATCTGATTTCTGAGCTGTGGCATTAGAGCTTTCCTTGTATTGGCCTTGATTTCATGAATACTCTCTTAGACCTTAAGAATTAATGCTAAAAAAGTTAGTAAGCCTGTTTCATATTATCCCTGGATATTGTTGCAGTCTGTTTTGAATTAAGAAAATTAATACCTGCAGGTTGTTACTGCTCCATTAAAAAGAGAGATCCCCTTTTCCCTTTCCATTTTACAGTGTAGCTATTACAGCTGTACCATATGCCTTGAGGTGATGAGGAGGTTTTTGTTACTCTATGCTACACAACGAGGACAGGCAAAGGCCATAGCAGAAGAAATAAGTGAAAAAGCAGTTACGTATGGTTTTTCTGCAGATCTCTACTGTATTAGTCAGTCGGATAAGGTAAGTCATGGTTTTTACTGTGTTTCACGCTTTGAAGTGTTTTGCTTGGGAATTGATGTTAAAAAACAAAGTGGGACCCTAAATGCCACCATGATCCCTTTTTTGTTTTTTTTTTAAACACTTAGAAATTCGTTTTATCAACTGTGTTATAAGACTTCTGCCAATTTTTTTCTCTCTCTGTGTGTGAAATTAAACTATGTGGTCTTAAAAATTAGGATGACTTAACCATTCTCAACTATAAATGGAACTAGCATGTTTGCCTTGTTTTTCTCACTGGGTGCCTGGGAACAAATGAGGTGTGTGTGTGTTCACAGGAACATGTGAGCTTTCCACCTTGTGAGTCCTGGCACCCTATACAAACTTCCCTGAAATAATGACCTTGTCATTCATGCCAGAGTTCTTCCAAGTGCAGAACCACTGAATTCTTTTGTGAAGATAGAATTTAGAGTGAAGGTGTAGGATCTGCGGGAGACTTGGGGACTGCTTATGTCTCTGTATTCAGTCTCTGCAGAAGTTCCCACCTTAGGATTGTTGTTATTGTCGTTCAGGTGCTATGTCGTGTCCCTCTGTTGGCGACCCCGTGTCTTCCACTACCTCCCGGAGTTTGCTCAGACTTGTGTTCACTGAGTTGTTTACATGAGATCTTAACAGACCTGTGCTTAGAATACCTAGTCTGACTCAGGCCCTTAGGTTATAGTCTCATGCATTTCAGGCCTTAGGGTATGGCAGCCCACTTCAGTATTCTTGTCTGGAGGATCCCATGGACAGAGGAGCCTGGCGGGCTACAGTCCGTGGGGTTGCAGAGAGTTGGACACGACTAAGCGACTAACACTCACTCAGGCTTGAGGCACGAGCAGGGCTCTTATAACACCCATGGTGAGGTGCCAGCCACTAAGTCCTCGGATTCAGCTCAGTACTTGAAAAACCACCTGGCCATGCACTCTGGCTCCAGTTCACAACCTCCACTGTTCCTTCCCACATGTCTGATTGGAAAGACTAGCCTGTCAGCCACAGAGGTGAATTATAAGCTTAGCTCCTAGAGGGGAAACCACCAAGTTCCTTGATGTAGCAGGGCCAGGCGGAGTCCCGATGGAGCCACTCACCCAGCCGGGAGAGTCCTGGGGCACCGCCAGTCATGGGCTCCGTGATCCTGCAGCATGTTCAGAGTGAGGTGTGGGGCCACAGGATGGAGCTCCATCCAAATCTGTTATTAACCCCAGAGACAGAGTTGGCAGCATCACACAACTAGCCCTGACGGGGCCAGCAGCTCTTTGAAAAGTTCAGTGAGCAGTGAGTTGTTTTTTGATCCCACAGTAGTCATGTTGTTTGCTTTCCTCAGCTGAATGGTTTCTTCAGTTGTTCTCATCCAAGTTTAACCTGATTGCTCTCTGCCCTCCTCAATCACAGTCAAGTCTTTTTCAAGATAAAGCCACTCACCGTAAACTGCAGAGTTCTGTCCCATGAGTGTTGGTCACCTGGTAAAATGTTAGCTCAAATCTTCACCTGTTAGATCAGCATGAAAAATAAAGCGAATACCTCGGAGCCCAGTGAGATGATATTCATCGATAGTAGAGCTCATGATTGTGAATAGAGAGAGTGAAGTGCTTTATTGGGAGTACTTAAATTTAGGTGAGAGTTAGAATAAGGAAACGTGAATTTTAAGACTTGGAAACCCCAGTGATCCCAGTATTCCATATTCTTGGCTCTCTGGAACCCTGAGGGGGTTGGGCCCTTCCTGATAGCTAGGTTTCCTGATGTCTGAGGAGTAATACTTTCACTTTGCCGATTTAAAATGCTCTTGCGTTCCTGTCTGCCATTACATGGCACAGACGACAGTACGGAAGATGAAGCTGATTGTTTTGCTGATGTGTTAAGTCTATTGCTGCTGTTGCTAAGTCGCTTCAGTCGTGTCCAACTCTGTGCGACCCCATAGACGGCAGCCCACCAGGCTCCCCCGTCCCTGGGATTCTCCAGGCAAGAACACTGGAGTGGGTTGCCATTTCCTTCTCCAATGCATGAAAGTGAAAAGTGAAAGGGAAGTCGCTCAGTCGTGTCCGACTCTTTGTGACCCCACGGACTGCAGCCTACCAGGCTCCTCTGTCCATGGGATTTTCCAGGCAAGAGGACTGGAGTGGGTTGCCATTGCCTTCTCTATGTTAAGTCTACATAGCAGTAGATCTCTGACATGACACCCTTGTTTTATAGTATGACCTGAAAACTGAAACAGCACCTCTTGTGATGGTGGTTTCTACCACGGGCGACGGAGACCCGCCTGACACAGCCCGCAAGTTTGTTAAAGCCATACAGGACAAGACGCTGCCACCTGACTTCCTGGCTCACCTGCGGTATGGATTACTAGGTGTGGACTGCGTTTTGTGTAGTTACTAGAGTGTTACTGCTGGCTTAGCGCTAGTATCTAAATGTGTTTTTCAAAACCATGGTGCATCATTGTATAGATTTTGTCTTCCTTGGGTTTTTATTTGTTTTATGTGTGTATAACATTTGAGGGTAAACAAGGTGCTATTTCCTAGCCATCACCCCCAGCAGCTCCTCTGCAGAGCCCCAGAATAGCATCTTAAGCTCGGGCACACACCAGACTCAACTAGGAAATATTTTTGAAATGTAAGTGATTGGGCTCCACCCCAATTCTGCTAAAACCAAGGGAGCAACCCTGCATGCTGTGTTTGCTTTTTTTTTTTTCCTCAAAGTTCTTATGTGTCTGTGACAGCTTCCTTAGCAGATGACCATTCCCCTAGGATACTGGTTCTCCAGCCTGGGCACACACTAGCATCCGCTGGGAGTTTTCCTTCCAATGTCATTGCTTTGAGTGCCTCCCTCCCTGCCCCTCTCACCCCACCCCCACCCCACTGTGATTCCGACTTAATCATTCTGAAGTAGGGTCCTGGGATCAGTATTTTTTATTTTTTTTTAGTTCTACCAGTTTATTGCTACCAACCCATCTCCGTCTACCCTCGTGCACACATGCTCAGTCATGTGACCCCATGGACTGCAGCCCGCCAGGCTCCTCTGTCCGTGGGCTTTCCCAGGCAAGAACACTGGAGTGGGCTGCCATTTCCTTCTCCAGGATCAGTGTTTTCTAAAGCTCTCAGGTGACTCTACTATGCACCCCAACTTAAAAAGCACTGGCCTAGGGTAGGGTCTGTGAAGAATAGCTTTAAAATATTAAAGGCTCAGAAGGACCAGCTCAGTGAGATAGTTGCACCAGAGAGGGAATTCAGGATCCATTTGCCTGGCTCGCGCTCTCTGTTCTCCTTTGAGAGCAGTTTTGGGGAGGCTATCGAGAAAGGATGGAATGTATGATGATAAATAACTGGATAGGGATTGAAATGACGAGCCTGGCCGAGATCTGTCATGTGTAGTGTATTCAAGAGAGCATTTTAGAATGTGTATAGCTTTTTAATTCAGTTTTTCCAATTTATTTATTTAGAAGAGTGAACATGTACATATTGGTTTAAAAATTCCTCAAAATTACTTGAAAGACTGAAGCCTTTTCGGCCATTTAGTCAATCTTAGGCCTATGTATGGGCTGTATGGGCCCACCGATGGATTGCTCACCTTGTTCTTGTAGGAAAAATTCAGGGAGACAAACAAGTATGAAATTTAAGCTCTTAATTTTAAATTTTCAATGAAGTATGAAAGTGTTTAGTCCATTTCTTACGAGGAAACACAGAAGCAATTCTTATATCCAACACAGAAACAGAGCAAATAAATGGTTGTTTGTGTTTTGGATGTACTTCTTGTTTTAGATAAGGAGTCAGTAAACTCTATAAAAGACCAGATAGCAAACACTTCAGGCTTCATAAGTCACTGGTCTAACAACTATTCATCTCTGCTGTTGGAGCTTGAAAGCTGCCTTAACAAGGTGTGAACAGGTGGACCTGGCTGTGGTCCAATGAAACTTTATTTACAGAGACAGTGGATGGTAATTGCCCATAGGCTGTAGTTTGCAGACCCTGCAGTGGGATCAGAAAAGCCTGCAAATACAGACATTGCATGTTCTTATGAAAGGAGCAAAGGTTGTTTGCTCTTCAGCAAAGGTTGTTGCTGAGCTGTGAAAGTTGTCAGGATTCTTGGCTTCCAGAGAAGAATTTAATCCGGGGCCAGTGACGAGGCTTGATTGCTCAGAGCTTTTGTGTTATAAAGTTTTATTAAAGTATTAAAGAGATGGAGAAGGCTTCTGACATAGACATCAGAAGGGGGCAGAAAGAGTGCCCCCCTACTAGCCTTTAGCAGTAAGTTACATACCTATCAACAGGCTGCTAGTTAGAGAAAGGAGATGTCCCAAAACTCAGAGTGGCTCCAGGCCTCTCACCCACAACATGCATTTTGAGATAACATTGGCACCAGGTGAGTCATCCCGGGCCATAAAACGATTGACATGAATCTTGAAGAAAGGCAGGTTTCCAAGAAAATATACAGTTTTATTAACAGTTATAGATTAGGGGAACAGTGTATGAGTAGAACTTAGAAGTTTGTTGAGTCCTTGTCATTCTAAGTCCTAAGAGGAAAGATTTGAAGAAAGACCAGAGCCTAAGGTAAATACATAGTTCATTAACGTAGCTTAAGACAAACATTTCCGTAAGAAAACGCATTGGTTAGCTCAAGGTTTGAGAAAAGTTAAGTTCTGGTGGAGCCAGGTGTCGTCATGGCAACACAGACTTTTAAGAGAAAACTTTTTAAAAATTTGTATAGAGAAGGGGAAAAAATTTAACACTAGTATGTTTCCTCCTGCTGCTTAAGAGAGAGAGAAAAAGTGTCTGACACTTGGAGCCTCTTTCCTCCCTTTGGAGACCCCTGGCCTTCCTGCCTGTTACCCTCTCATTTAGTACGCTAATCCTTATTTTCAGATTACCATATTTTTACACAAATTCATGGAAACAAAAATGTGAGCTATATTTCTGTTAACAGTGGTCCAAAGTACTTGTTTTGTTTCTGTTTGCATAGTCAGTATTCCTCAAGGAAAAAATAATACAAAGCTGCACATTATTTCCTGTTACATCAAGAAGAGCTTTGAGTGGTGGTCTTCTGAATGTTTTGTTTCTCTCTTGTGTATTTGGTTAAATTTAAACCTTACTGCAAGCTAATAACCCATTTGGACTCTAGGTCTGGGTGATTCAGAATACACGTACTTCTGTAACGGGGGGAAGGTAATTGATAAACGACTTCAGGAGCTTGGAGCCCAGCGTTTCTACAACACTGGCCACGCGGATGACTGTGTAGGGTAAGAGCAGTGTACCTCTATCGTTTCCAGTAAACCATGTTTGTACATGATGTAAGTCAGTTTACAAAAGGGGTTAATTTTTGAACTAGCATTAACTTTCAATCTTGAAAGTCCTATTTTAGTTTTGGGACCAAGGAAAATCCTTCAGAGCTTGATTTATCTGTTTGCTGATTTTTTTTTTTTTTTAAGTGCCTCGTCCATCTCAGTGTCTGCTAATGGAAGACATTAGGCAGGTGGCCCAGTACAGTTACCTCAGGCTTAGAAATGTGCATCTGTTTGCAAAAGTCATTGTTTTCTTTAGGAACTCGGAGAGCGAGTGCCTGCAGGGGAATGACTGGACTCTGGACCTCCCCGTGGAGGGCGCCCGGCTGCCCGCGTTACAGGCGCATTACGGGTGGAGACGGGGACCAGAGGCCTTCCCAGCACCCCGGCTCCTTGGGGCTCTCCCTCCCCATCTTCATGGTCATTTACCGCCCTGCCCACCAGGAATGTAATTTCTATTTCGTTAATTTGTTCTTATTTTTACAGTTCAGTATTTCACCCTATGTGCCGCCTTACAAATCCTCTTAATGTGTTAATTCAGAGACCTTATAGAATTGTCCTTTTTCTGTCATAACAGCACATGCACGCACTCGATTTTTTTTTCTACTGGCTCTGTGCATTAAGTAAATCTCACCCACTAGATCTGGGCTTATGCCACATGACAAGTTCAGCAAAGGCTGTGCTTTTCTGCATATGCCGCCTTGCATGGGCATGTTGGAGACACTTCTGTTTGCCCGTAACTCACCTTTGTGAGTCCATACATGTCCATCATTTTCTGCAGCTGTGAGGCTGTAAGTTTTTTTCCATTGCCCCAGGGTACATATCCTTTATGGTGACAGCTCCACCACATTGCCTTGCCTGTTACCTTTCAGTTTTGTCTCGTATTGGGCTCTTTTTCCCATAAGAAACGTTGTTGGCATTAAATGTTTATTGTCCTTTATGAGCTGTTTAAATGCTAAATGCTTATAAATCTGTTAGTCCTATTGCTCAACTCAATATTTTACTTCAGAGGCTTTTGATTTCACTATTGATTTATTGCATTGACCATTAAAATTCTTCAATGTATATTTTAGCAGCCTGCATCTCTAAAATTTTCAACCTAAGTACTCTTTTCTAAAATTAGAATATTTTCAAGGAGACATCTTGGCTTACTGTACCATCACATTGAAGGGGTTAAGAATGTAGACTAGAGTTCAAATACCTGCGTTCAGATCCTTGGTTTTCCCCACTTACTGGCTATGAAGCATTGCTCAAATTACTTAAACTTTTTGTGTCTTGGTGTTCCCCTTGTGAAATGGATCATAACAATATATATTGTTTAAGGTTCTTCGAAGCATCAAATGAATGAATAAAACTTGTTTTAAAACAACGTCCACCATATAGTGCATGCTCCGTGGGCACGAGCTTTCTTTTAAGAGTATCACCGTATTAGTGTTTCTGAGCTGTGAGAATTGCGTTTTAAATGTAGCTGTCATCATTGAACCACTAATTCATATGCTTGCCCTTCCAAATGCCCCTGAGGGGTGGGTGCACTGTGTCACCAAGCTCTGAACTATGTGCCACGTGAGCAGTAATGAATACGATGAAAGTATAGCCAAAGTCTCGGTACGACAGAGGTCTAAAATGTGTCTCCTCTTGTCACTTAGCTCTATGAATTGGAACTTAATTGATCACGCATGGAGTTGTGATTGAAAATGACAGAGATGTCCTTCTCAAGGTCTTGATGCAGTACTTAGCCATTCGCTCTGTGAACAGAGCATAGGGAATATTACTGTTGTCATACTTTGCCAGTAGTCAGTTTGTTATTTACTTGCTAAGTCGTGTCCGACTCTTTTACGACCCCAAGGACTGTAGTCTGCCAGGCTCCTCTGTCCATGGGATTTTCCTGGCAAGCATACTGGAGTGGGTTGCCATTTCTTTCTCCAGCCAGTAGATGAGCATATTTTACAATGTACTTATGGTTAATTTCAGCTCTCCTAAAGTATGATTGAAGGGTTGAGCTATTAGTCAAAGAGCATTAATCTGGAGTGGGTTCTTGGTGGTATCTTAATCTGTAGGAAACAAAGATCAGTAAATTGGCTAGGCAAAAAAAGGTGGTGCATTTGATATAATTATCATTTATGATATTAGAGGAGAATTGGATCTTGGGTATGTTCAGTTAGCCTCATCAGATTTAGCATGCCTGTTTAAAATGACGTCTTCTTACAGTATCAACTCTATTTTAGGAAGTTAAGTGAAATCAAACTCCTGTTACCTTTTACTAAATCATCTTCATTTTTGTTCTCTGACTTTTATGCATGTTCATACTTTTTTATAGCTCAGTGCTAATGAACACAGTAAAGTTTTGGTTTTTAGCTTAATCATAAGTATTTTTGTATTCTGAATAGCCTTCATGGTGAATGTTTCTGACAGTTGCACAGCATTCTGTCAAATGGACAGACTCTCATGTTATCCTGTTGTTAAGTGTTTAAATGGAGAACTTAAGTGTTGTTTTTTTTCTGTTTTTTTCCAACTCAGTTTAGAACTTGTGGTTGAGCCATGGATTAACGGACTCTGGGCTGCCCTCGAGAAGCATTTTCTGTCGAACAGAGGAAGAGAGGATACAAGTGAAACTCTCACGATGGCATCTCATGCCTCCCAGAGGACAGATCCCTTGACACCGGAATTATTACATGTGGAATCACAAGTTGGACTTCTGAGATTAGATGATTCCGGAGGAAAGGCTGCTGAAGTTTTGGAACAAAATGCAGTGAACAGCAGTCAATCAAGTGCTTTGATTGCAGACTTTGAGGCCTCGCTTACCTGTTCAGTACCCCCACTTTCACAAGCCTCTCTGAATATTCCTGCTTTACCACCGGAATATTTAGAGGTGCATCTGGAGGAGGCCCTTGGCCAGGTAAGCAATGATGTTGGTGGTGTTTTTTTGTGTTTTTTTTTTTTTGGTGTTTTTTTAAATTATATTATGGCAGAGGAACAAACTACGGCATGCTGGGTGAGTGTGGTCTACCATTTCTTGTGTAAATGAAGTTTTATTGGAACACAGCCATGCCCACCCAAGGCTGCTTCTGCACTGCAGCGGTGGAGTTGAGTCGCTTCCAAAGAGGCGTTACCTCCAAGTGTTACAGATATGCCTGTATTATTGCCTGGCTTCTCTCTGAAGAAGTAAATGGGTACGAGCTCAGTGTCTCCATTGCCTTGGAGAAGTAATGTCTTGGCTTCTTGCTTTAGATGTCAGTCAGGTAAGGGTGAGTTGTGGGCAGTTAGGAAACCATCTCAGCAACTAATCTGAGTCAGGTACAGTGAGATCACTTTTCCAGTGTGGATCTTTGCTGTCCTGGGATACTCCATCTTAGGGGTTTTTCTTTCTCTTGGTAATATTTTATAGACCTGTTTTTGTCTGTTTAAGTCTTTTTTTCTATGCCTTGAGTATTTTTCCTATCAGTAAATAAATGACTTTAAAGTGGTCTGTACATTTCTGAGCATCAAGTTGAATAGCAGCTGATATTACCCCACAATTGTCAGTATATGGTTCCCTGAAATTTCTTCCAACATGCTTGGAATAAGCTTCCAGGGCAGCCAGTCTTGTGACGCCTGGCTGACGCCTCTGTGTTGAGAGGGAGTTGCATGTGGGCTTTGTCAGGTAAACCACACCCTTAACGCAACTGTCGTGGTTTCTGGTTTCTTCTTTTCCTTTTATTAAATGAGGAAAGACATTTGAGAAACAGTTTAATTCCAACTTTCTAGTTTATTTGAAAACTGTTTGCAAACACTTGATATGCATACCAGTGTTTTCACCGTCATATTTTTACAATGTTTTTCTAATGCATTCATATAAACAGGTAGGTTTTTATATGACCTTCCCTGGGTTATTGTTTTCACACTCATGTTTCATTCTTTATTAAAAGGGATTATCACAATAAGTACCTCTTAGTCAGAACTGGGGACAGGTGCTGTGGCTGTGATAAACAAGCCAGGCAGGTGGGTTCAGGGTGGTGAGGCGGCCCTGGGTTTGCGCTGCAGGGATGAGTGTGTGTGGCAGGGGTGTCGATCTCTGATTGATCTGACAAGGCGCTTCACTTAGGATCTGCCTGAGAGTTTCTTTTATGATAGGTGTTATTAAATAGACTTGAGTTGTTGGTAATGTCTTCAAAAGTTTTTTAAAATCTCAACTATTTAATGGAAACTTGTGTAAATCTGTTTAAAGGATATACCTAGAGGATAAGGGATTGAGGAAAAAAGTTTCCTATTTTAGGGCCCCATCTCGGGATAACCCCCTTGGGGAGCGGGGCGGGTGGGGGAGGGGAGGATGGGCTCCGGGTTGGGCATAGCTGGAAGCTGAGCTTCAGTGCACGTGGGCTCAGTCACTTGATGGCTCGTAGCCCGCAAGCCAAGATTTCACTGTGGGGTTATGCTAACCGCCAGGTGAGCCACTGGGCCCTTTGAGCCAGACTCGGGCCAGGACTCTGGTCCCCCGCCGGCCGCAGGCGTCGGGGCTGTGTGACCCAGCAGCTGCACCTGGCCGCTCTCCCCGCGTCCCGCGTCCAGCGCTCCTTTCTCCCAGGACTGTGGTCCCCCCCAGGCTCAGCCCTTGGGGCTGTGGCCCAGCAGCCACACCTGGCCGCTCTCCCCACGTCCCGCATCCAGCGCTCCTTTCCCCCAGGACTCTGGTCCCCCCCAGGCTCAGCCCTTGGGGCTGTGGCCCAGCAGCCGCACCTGGCCGCTCTCCCCGCGTCCCTGAGTCCAGTGCTCCTTTACCCCTGGGGCAGCATCAGTGCGGTTTCTGTGCCTCGCGGAGTCGCTCCTCCTGGGGGCCTGCCTGCTCCTGCCATCGGGTGGGAGGGCTCCAGGTCTGACAGCTGACTCAGGTCCAGCAGCTGGACAGAGGGCCTTGAGCGTTCATTAGGACAGCTTCCCGCTCATGATGTCTTGGTTTCTTTCCCTTGTGAGGACTGATCAGCGCCCTTGTCAGCCGCCGCTTCACTCTGATGCTCTGGAAGCCATGTGCTCATCATTCTTGTTATTTCTGGGAGTTGGGCCCCTGGCCGCCCCCCAGCTTTTCTACTCACTGTGGTCCTTGTGCACACCCCTCCCCCAGCGTTCCTGGCCAGGTGCTCCCGCCTCCCTCTGTGCTTGGTGCCCGGGGGCGGGGGGCAGTGTGGCTCTGGTTTTCCTGTTGCTGGGCGCCCACTTTGTGAGCTCTGGTCAGCAGGCAAGCTCAGTGGTGCTGCTGGCCCCCTGACCAGCGCGGGCCTGTTGGCCTTGGCAGTGCGGTGGTCTCTGGGCGCTCCAGGGAGCCCCTGTCAGCTGGTGGGTTTGGCCTTACGTGGTTTTGTCCACTCTGACAGGCCCTCTTCTCTGAGCTTTTCAATCCTGTCCTCAAATGTCTTGGCATTTCTGCCCGACTTAGCTTTTTCTTTGCTCTAGTTGCCGGCTGTCCGTGTGTTTACGTCATCTCTGGGGCTCTGCCAGGGTGAGGAAAGCCTGTGTCCTGGGAGGGTGTCCCAGTTAGAAAGCCCTTCATCCAGACCTGTGTCCTGCCCCGCCTGGCCCGGGACCTCAGCCTTCTGTGTGGGGCACGCGTGTTCTGTTCTGTCTATGCATGTTGCTGGCCTGCCCTTTCTTTGGAGCTGGCCCAGCGCACGGGCAGCCAGGCCTGTCGCTTCTTAGCTGTGGTTCCGGTCCAGCAGCCAGGAGGAGGGGTAGGGTGGGGGTGGAGCCCCCGCGTGCCTAATGCGAGAGTGAGCCCTTGTCCTTACGGGAGGGGCGCCCCTTCCGCGGCCTCCAGGGCTTGCCTCGCTCGGGTGTCTCTCCCCCATTCCTCCCTGCCCAGCCTCCAGGGCTTGCCTCGCTCGGGCGTCTCTCCCCCATTCCTCCCTGTCTAGCCTCCCTGGCTTTTTCTGCCCTCAGGCTGCAGCTGGTGAGCACTCAGGTGTAAGCTACTGAGAGTGTCCTCTGGCTCTCACTGGTAGATTTTAGCTGTTGCCTCATTATTCTTGGCTTTTTGCATTTTTTCCAAAAGTGTCGGTGAAGCTTAGTCGTAGGCCTCCAGTCCCAGCGGCCCGATCGGTGCTGCTCCCTCCTTGTCCCGGGCACGTGTCACCAGGTATGTCCTCACTGCCAGCCGGGGCAGCCCTCCAGCGCCACATGCCCATTTTAGCGACTTTCTCGGGCCACTCTGGCCTGGCTGTCGAGGCTGGGTTCCTGGGAATCACTGTGAGATGATCTTCGGGGCCTCGTCCTCACCCCGGAATGTCAGGGGGCAGGAGCCGGCCGGGGCACAGGAGAAGCTGAGCTGCAGGGCGCTCTGAAGCCGGGCGGCCCTTCAGGGTTGCTGCGAGCTGTGCAAGGGGCTGGGCTGTACAGCCGCTGATGAGTCTTTGGATGGGGCGGCCTCTAGATGGAGGTGTGACCTTGAGTGCTCAGGGGTCACTCGGAGGTGACGGCGAGGGGCTGGGGGCCCGCAGTGAGCGCTGCCGGCAGCCCTGCCGAAGGCCCTGCCCCTGTTCCCGTCACCACAACTCTCAGACCTCAGCCCTGGCCTTCTGCCCGGCCTTCCCACATAGCCACTCATCCACAGTTAACTGACCAGCACTTTCCGAGATGTAAGTTTCTATTTTTATTAGAACTTAGGATCATCAGGTTATGAATCTGGTGAGGTAGGGCCAAGATTTGGGTTTCTTTTTAGTTTCCCAAGGCCTGTATTGTCTAATTTTACCTGCGTGTTGCTACTATTAATTAATGAAAATTAAATTAAGAATTCAGTGCTTGAGTCGCACCAGCCATGTTTCCAGTGCCCAGTGGTCAGGCATCGGCCAGTGAGGTCATGGCGCATCCCCGCCGTCCAGAAAGCTCTGGGACAGCACCGCCCGCCACTCTGAGGGCTCTCGTCACCATCTGTGCAGACAGCTCCCGACCGTGAACATCTGTCACTCCTTTAGAATCTCCTTCTGAAGTGTGCACACACACTATTTCTTTTTGCATAGTTCATTAGGAAGACTGTTAGACCTTTCCATGGAAAGTGCTAGTATCTGATGTTTCCCATATAATTTCAGAACTTTTAGTCTGGTAGATAAGGAGTTTAAAATATAGATAAGCTTCTCTTCTGAAAGATTGATAGGCCTGTCTGTAGGCATTTACCTTAGAGAAGAATTCTGAAATCTCACCAGGGGGTGTTGAAAGATCCTGTAGCTCTGATGTTGCCACCAAGTGAAGCAGTGGTAAGTATAATTGAAAATCACGTTTCATAGCACTTTATCACATTTCTTTCTCAAGGAGGAAAGCCACGCATCTGTGAGTTCGGTGGATCCAGTGTTTCACGTTCCAATTTCAAAGGCAGTTCAACTGACTACGAATGATGCCATAAAAACCACTCTTCTGATAGAACTGGACGTTTCGGTGAGTTCCAGAATGTGTTTCTGAGCACAGGGATGTTGTCAGTCAGCGTGGAGGCTGACCTGTGGTGTGTCCTCACCCACAAAGGCTGGAAGAAGGAGGTGCTGGCTGGACAGCACCAGCCACCTGGCCTGTCATGTTTATTCCTGACCTGTCATTTTATCTCTCCATCTCATCCCTGTTTTCTTTCCACTTCAAGGAGGGGTTGAGATGAGGAGTGACTGGAGGTGATACCACTTGGAAAGAGTAGTGTTGCTGCCTTGCTCATTAAGCCACGAAAGAGTAATGGAATCAGGACAGCACTGGCATATAGGAGCCCCAGGCAAGGAAGCTGAGGTCAGCGGCCAGGGAAGCTGAGCCCAGGCTAGCCCGTCGTGTGACGGTCACTTCTCAGAGTGGTGGTCTGTGTTCCTTTGAGAACCTGAGAGAAGTCATGGACCCCCCTCTCCAGAAGAAGGATTATATATAAGCATTTTGCACATAGTTTTAGGGGGTTTCCGTGCTGGCTCTCGGGGTCCCCATCCATAGGCCTGTCCCAGCCCCCGCCCCAGCCTCTGGCCTCAGGTGGGAAGCCGTAACTGGACCTGCCACAGTCGTGCAGCTCAGCCCTGGATGCGGGTCCCGTGGAGCTCAGTGGGCTGGACTTTCAGAAAAGACTGTGTCAAGGCTGTTGGTGGAGGTTTAGTTGAATTTCTAATAGAAAAAAGAAATATGGGAGGCAGCAAAATTGGATGGTTTTGCTTACATGCTGTTGTTCTGTTCAGTCGCTAAGCTGTGTCTGACTCTTTGTGACCCCATGGACTGCAGCACTCCAGGCTTCCCTGTCCGTTACTGTCTCCTGGAGCTTGATCAAACTCATGTTCGTTGCGTCGGTTGGTGATGCTCCCTAGCCATCTCATCCTCTGCTGCCCCCTTCTCCTTTTGCCTTTAATCTTTCTCAGCTTCCAGGTCTTTTCCAATAAGTCAGTTCTTTGCATCAGGTGGCCAAAGTATTGGAACTTTAGCATCAGTCCTTGCAAGTGAATATTCAGGGTTGATTTCCTTTCAGATTGACTGGTTTGATCTCCTTGCAGTCCGAGGGACTCTCATACTATTGAGTAATTCCATTTTCTTTTGAACATTTTTATCCCCACTGTTGAATATCCTGTATACACGAAAGCATTTCACTTCTGTTACACACTTTTGTCATAAAGAGGTGAGATTTGGCCGACTGGTGGGTCTGGTCTGTGTCTGTGTCCCGCACAGGCTAGGGGTGTGGGTATGTGTGGTCAGAGGCCCCTTCCTAGAGCCCTCCACACCCTCACCCACTCTGCAGAGTGCGTAGACCTGCTGTGGGAGGTGGCTCCACCCGGAGCCTGGGTCTGTGCACAGCCAGGGCTGAGCCAGATGCTCTAGTGTTGCGTGTCCCTAAAGGAAGAAAAGCGGTCTCCCCCACCCCACTCCTCCCTGAAGGAAAGGAGTAAGGAGAGACCACTGAAGAGCAGTTTATTTGCTCCTAAAGTGCGTGTCTGTGTTTTCAAAAGAGGGTTTTTAACATGGATTATTAAAAACACTGCTTACCGGGACACCTTAATCTCTAGAAGAGGCAGGTCTTAATTTCTAGTCTGTGAATACTCGATATAGAGCAAAACATTAGATAATTAGAGAATTTCTTTTTTGAAAATAACTCCTAGTACAGGTATGCTTGTTTAGTTAATTGGTCTTATCTGTTAGAAACAAAATAATTCTAATTGCCAAAAATGAATTTGTATGTTCAGATGTTCATATAAGAAAAACTGTGTTGGTTGCCCCACAGCTAAAACTCTTAACTCATGTGGCATTTTTTTATTTCGTGTCGGCTCTTCTCTAGAAAACGGATTTTTCCTACCAGCCTGGAGATGCCTTCAATGTGATCTGTCCCAACAGTGACTCTGAAGTACAGTTCCTGCTGGAGAGACTGCAGCTCGAAGACAGGAGAGAGCACCGTGTCGCCGTGACGATTAAGGCAGACACGAGGAAGAAAGGTGCAGGCCTTATGTCTTCCTGCTCTGGACGTCCTTGGGGGGACAGGGGTGGCAGCACGGGTCTGCACAGGTGCCTGAGGGCCGGCCTTGGTCTTGGGTGGGAGTCCTTAGCATCCACAGCGGGTGCCCTGGGTGAGTCAGTTACCCTGAATGAGATGGCGATAGAGTTTATGCTTATTGGATGCTTACAGACATTAAAAATGAAGCTGAAGAATCAGCCTTTCCAGAACTCTAGACATTAGCAAGCTTACAGCAAACTGGGAAACACAAAGATGAATATAACTATGGTTTCAGAGAAGCAGGTTGGTTAGTTGAGCCAGTTTGTTAGGTTGTTTTTTTTTCAATCAGCATTGCTTTTTTTCTAAGTTTGCACACTAGAGTTGTCATGGAGAAAAACTATATTATATGAATCTGTTTTAAAAACTGCTTTTTGCTGTGAGTTCCCTGGTGGTTAGGACTCTGGGCTTTCAATTCTGGGGCCCAGGTTTAATTCCTGGTGGGAGAACATCCCACACACTGCACTATGTGGCCAAAAAACAAAAAAGGTAGTTTTATGTTTGTGTCCCATGGCGTATTTGTTATTGCTTATTTAATACATGAAAGTAATTGCTTTTTTCCATGATTAAAGAAAATTATTTTACAGCGATTTGCTTAGAATCTGAAACTAGAGCTCAGGCAGCTCTGAAATTCTTTCTGAGGACAATAGGCAGTGTGTGGGACCACTGCCGTCTTTTGGAGGGGCTTCCCCGATATCTCAGTTGGTAAAGAATCCACCTGCAATGCAGAAGACCCCAGTTTGATCCCTGGGCTTTTTGTCCCTTGGTTTTAGATAATTTCCCTTCCTTTTGTTTAGTAAACCTAGATTTGGTAGGTATAGCTGATACAGTAATGCTGTTGAATTAGTGAAATTGTTTTTGTAAAGTGCATTTTTCTTTCACATTCTTTGTGAGGAAATCTTTTGACTGAATAAATGTCATGTTGTACTTTGATAGCACTATAATGTAAAGGATTACAGCTGTTAGTAGCGTGTTTCTTGGGGTTGGAAACATCTTTTATTTTCTGTGTCGTGATCTCTTCCCTATCTACCTGGACAGGCGCAGCCTTGCCCGAATACGTACCTGAGAGGTGTTCTCTCCAGTTTCTTCTCACCTGGTGCCTCGAAATACGAGCCATTCCCAAGAAGGTATTGTTTTATAAGTTCTTTTGGTATCTACTTAAAAATATACTTATCTTTCTATAGTTTATTAAATCATTTGAAGGCTTAGAAAATGTGGTCTTCACAACCTGTGTTCAGAATAGTTCCCAAGGCATGCTGTGTCTCTGTGATGTCATGGACAAATATTTTTAAATTGCTCTTTAATTGAAATGTTACATTTTCTGTTGAAACAAGAATTTCAAGTAGGGCTTTTCCTTAATCTTATTTTACTAGACGTTAACTCGATGTTGCGCGGTAACCAGTGATGAAAGTGGCCCGTGATGATATGGGTTTTCCAGCTGCGCACGGACACTTCTCCCCTAACTGACGGGAGGCTAGGGGTTTCCCTCGCCTATCCCTCATTTAAGGTTGGGAAGACCCCTTTTGTGTGAAAGTCTGCAGTTGATTTATTGTGTCCGAATTCTTCAGGGCGCAGCGCAGGGTTTCCTGGGTCATGCTGACGCGAGGCGGGCTTGGAGGTGAAGATCCTCTAGGTGTCAGTATTGTGCTGCTGTTAGGACTGTTTTTCTAGCCCTGTTCCTCCAATGGATGTTAGTGGGCGAACTTTCCACGCTGTTTTACCAAACTTGTATTGTGAATGAGCAGAAACAATACTATTATTACATTACACTGTCCACACTGCAGTGTTCGTCTTCTGTTTTATTAACGTGTTGACTGCATTTGTAGTTCTTCAGGAAGTGAACTCAATGGAAAGGCTTAATCCTGGGTATAATTTGAGTAAATTTACAATGCACTGTGATGAAAATTTCCTGCATAATTTCACAATTTTAGTTCAACTCTACCATTTCTGAAAACTTCACAATGTATATATTTAAACATGTATTTTTGCTTACTGCAAAAGCAGTATGTTTGTAAAAAGTCTGGACACAAAAGTAATTCAGGAAGCAAAAGTGCTTTTTAATTAGCCCCCTGCAGTTAATAGGGCTTCCCTTGGTGGCTCAGAGAGTAGAGAATCTGCCTGCAAAGCAGGAGATCTGGGTTCAGTCCCTGGGTTGGGGAGATCCCCTGGAGAAGAAAATGGCAGCCCGCTGCAGTTCCTGCCCGGAGAATCCCGTGGACAGAGGAGCCCGGCGGGCTCTGGTCCGTGGGCTGTAAAGAGTCAGACACGGCTGAGCCACTGTCGCACTGCAGCTCACGTTTGAGTCTCTGCTGCCAGTGTATGTGCGATTCTGTAACAGGCTTTTTAATTAAAAGGAAATCATGAGTGTGCATATCCCAACGTGGAAACATACTGGAGATCTTATTAAAAGATGCTGTAATCGTTGATTTGATTAACAACAGTCCATTGTTTCCAGTTTTCACTATTAAAAATTCATTTAGGTCAACCTTCTGTTTGCATCTGTATGCACCTGTCTAAAGTTTTTTTTTAAATAAATTGCTTGGAGTACAATTACTGTGTTAAAAATATTTAGAATTTAAGTTTTAGTAATGTTTGTCAACTTGTTTTCTACATAATACAGTATTTCCTGTATTAGTCCTGTGAAGTTTCTGTTAGCTAAAGTGAGAAATATGCTACTGCTTTAGGCTGTAACTTGGGAAGGTTTATTGACTTGAAAGTTTGGCTGGAAGTGTTCTTGGTGAGCTCCTGCGCTCCTGTAGCTGGTGGGTCTCTGGGTAGGTGCGGCAGGGATTCTTGGCTGGTCAGTGGAAACCTGAGGCCCCACGGGAATGTGACCTCATCGTCCCTGTCGAGGGCGCCTGGGCCTGCGGGGTGCAGGGGCCATGGGTGTAGTGGTGTCCACTCCCGTCTCAGGTAACATTGTTGCTCCCCCTCTCCTGTGAAGCCTTTTGGGCAAGTTAGGTGTCCTCTTGTACCCAGTGCCTGTCAGAAAAAGCTCTTAATGGTGGTCAAATATGTGTCGAAATCCAGGTCGTAGTCATCAGCTAAGGCAGGAACAGGTATTGTGTCCTGAGATAAAAACGTGTGGTTAACGAGGGACTTCCTTGCTGGTCTGGTGGCTAAGACTCTGGGCTCCCAATGCAGGGGCCCTGGGTTTGATCCCTAGTCAGGGAGCTAGATCTCACATGCCGGGGAGCTAGATGCTACATAAATAAATACTAAAAAAAAAAAAAGTTTGCTTGGGTGACTTGACTGCCTGCTTACTCACAGAGACCTACCGTGTAACTTGAGACTGTGCTTATGACTGATTAGGTCAGTTTAAGATACAGGGAAGGTGACCAAAAAATAAAAGTGGGTCTTCCCACTTCGATAGGCTGCCATCAGAGCAAATACGAAACGAAATGCTCTTTTCCCGGCCACACTCCTGGTGGCCACACTCCCTGTTTCTTAAAGATTGGGCACATCCCAGGTGGACAGCACCCCCGCGTTCTGATGCTGCGACCCGCAGAGCACGTGGTGACTTGTTGGCTTCTTGGCCACAGGCGTTCCTGCGAGCCCTCGCGGACCACACCGGCGACAGCGCTGAGAGGCGGCGGCTGCAGGAGCTGTGCAGCCGGCAGGGGGCGGCCGACTACGCCCGCTTCGTCAGGGACGCCGGCGCCTGCCTGTCCGACCTGCTGCGGGCCTTCCCGTCCTGCCAGCCTCCACTCGGCCTCCTGCTCGGTGAGTGGCCGCCGTCACAGCCCCGCTGCCCGGGGCAGCCCTTCTGTGCTAAGGGCACCTCGAGTTCCTGCAGGCCTGTGGGGGCGCGTCTCCATGACTGGCCGGTAAGCAAGCGTCTCACAGCTGGGCTTCCCGGGGCCTTAGCAGCTGAACTTCCTTCCTGAGGTCAGAGAATCTCTCTCTCGTTTTTTTTTCCCCGCTTTTTCAGTTTTCTTTCCTGCCATTGTCACTGTCATTTTTCTCTCAATATTGTTGTCATTCAGTCGCTAAGAGGTGTCCGAGTTTTTGCAACCCCATGGACTGTAGCACGCCAGGCTTCCCCATCCTTCACTGTCTCCTGGAGTTTGTTCAGATTCATGTCTGTTGAATCAGTGATGCCATCCAACCGTCTCACCCTCTGTCATCCCCTTCTCCTTCTGCTCTCAATTTTTCCCAGCAGCAGGGTCTTTTTCTGTATTAATAGAATCAGTTGTAATTCTCTTTTTTCACTCAGCCTTCAGCCTCGAGTATGTTTTTCAGAAAGCTCTTGGCCAAATTTTATCTAAAAATGAGCTTTCCAAGAGAAGGATCTTTTTCAAAGATAGTGGTAATTGATGGAGTGTGACGAAGTGTGCGCTGTGTGAGCAGAGTTCAGAAATGCCCCACCTTGGCAGGCCCAGATTTTGGTTCTTTAAGAGCCCGAGGGTCTCCTTGTGCTGGCCCAGCGTAAGCAAGTGTCCTTACTCAGGGTGCCTCCGAGTGTGGACTTGGGGGGATAGGCATCCAGATGGACGGTCACCCTGGTCTTCTGGTTCAGAAGAGAGTTTCAGATCTTCGTAAGGACCTGGTGTCCGGACTTGGAGACGTTTACCAGGGACGGTGACTGTAAGCATTTATGGGATTTTAGAACCTTTGTCATTTAATACTTTCTATGCTTGTACTTCTGTCATCTCCTGTCTGTTTTCCTAGAGTGATAAATAGTGACAGGAAAACGTGTACTGTACTTTGCCCTGTCAGGCCGGCGAGGTCCCTTCTGATGCCAAGTATGGTTAAGGGCCCTCCTTTATAAGTCAGGCCCTGCTTGCTTTCCCCTTTACTTTTTAATGTTCTCTGTCCTCCAAGTGGTACGCTGCTCTTCCCATTTTCCTGTTCAAGTGAACACTCTTACCCTCTTTCTTTTGAGCTAATGGTTCTGTTCAGTTGCTCAGTTGTATCCAACTCTTTGCGACCCCATGGATTGCAGCATGCCAGGCCTCCCTGTCCATCGCCAACTTGCGGAGTTTACCCAAACTCATGTCCATTGAGATGGTGATGCCATCCAACCATCTCGTCTTCTGTCATCCCCTTCTCCTGCCTTCAGTCTTTCCCAGCATCAGGGTCTTTTTTAATGAGTCGGCTCTTCGCATCAGGTAACCAAAGTATTGAAGCTTCAGCTTATAAACTTTAGAAGTTTATATAATTGAGACTTATAGAAACTTCAATTATTTCCTAATTTCTGTGAGAAAATACACCTAAGGATTAGTATTGAGCCCTCTTTTAAACCTTATTCTGACATTGCAACTGTAAGACATTTCAGAAAGGGCTTTCCAAATTTTTGCTAAATAGCTATTAAAATGATAACATACTGAACACAAAAATTTCCAGAGTTTATTAGTGGACAATTCAAATATTGACTCTTAGTCTCCTTTTGAAAGAGCACCTGTGTACCTTGAGACCATTGGATTTCTGGGTTACTTGATTTAAGAGTGTCCACTGTTACACTCTGGTTTTTTGTTATAACCCTATAAATATAAGAAAGGAAAAATATTTTCAGCCTAAGTATTTTCCACAATCTAACCGTCTTTGGGTCACAGTTGTATTTCAAGTCTGAAAACTCTGGAGACACCCCAGAAAACAATATAATTGGTTCCTTGACTCTGAGGCCCATTTGTGGACCTTACTCCTGTTTGCTGTTTTAAAAAAACCAAACGTCCTTTAGGTAGAAATACTGGCTTCACATTAAGGAAACGGATTCTGTTTGGTCTTTAAGATTTGCTTGTAATATCTCGTAATGGTCTGCTTACTCATTGTGAATGTGTAGGTACTTAAAAGTATGATGAAAACTGAAACAGAAGTTGTTTTGAATGTTCTAAATAAGAGAAAACTTAGAAGTCAGACCTTTACATATAGTTTACATGTATACACATACTTTATTTTCAGTAGGAGTGAATTAATAGTTACCTGTTTTTGCTTTTTTCTAGAACATCTTCCTAAGCTCCAACCCAGACCGTACTCGTGTGCAAGGTACTGATGCTTATTAACGTAACACACAGTGTCTTTCTCCTAAAATACAATGAAACTCCAACTTTGAAATCCTTGCTAGCTACAGGTCCATTTACTGAAAACTTACCAGACTTGTGGAAGATGGTAGCAGACATGATCAGGAGTGAAGAAAACCAGGCTTGGACTCCTGTTCCCCCAGAGTTCATAGGGCATGGCATCTTCCATCGCTCTTTTGGTCCAGAATCATTTCCCCGCTTAGGGAGTCTCCGAGTCCTCCTCCTGCGACCTTTATTGATGTGCCTTGCCACCTGGTTGGGGTTGGAGGAGGAAGGGGAGAGGGAGGGGTTCTGTATAAAACTTATCTAGTCTTGGGGGCACACAGGTAACCAGAAACTGTCCTGAGTGATATCAGGACTCTGGGGGCAGGGCGGCTTTGCAGTAAGCAGCAGAGCTGTTCTCTGACGGGAGAGAAAGTGACTAGTGCCCACTTGGAAATACCCCTCAGTGCAGTTAAAAAAAAAACACCTGTATGTGTTAGTCCTGATGCAAAGTTTAAAAACTTGCATCTCTGTCTTTGCAGCTCAAGTCTGTTTCACCCAGGGAAGCTTCATTTCATTTTTAACATTGTGGAGTTTTTGTCTAACACCACGGAGGTGGTTCTTCGGAGAGGCGTGTGCACAGGCTGGCTGGCCACCTTGGTTGAATCAATTCTTCAGCCGTACACGTGTGCAAACCATGCAGATGGCAAGAAAGCCCTGGCTCCCAAGGTACGAGGAGTATGCAGTTTTGGTGACATTGAAAGCATTCATTGCTAGTTGGAAAAATGTCCGCTGCCTTTTTCGTTACCAACAAACCATTCAAAGGAAACTTTATGCCACGCTTGAGCTTTAGTCTTTTGGAAAGTCAGGAGAACAATTTTCACTCAGTATTATAAGTCCATGTGTTTCCTCAGTGTGTAAAGTATGAATTGTATACAGTACAGTCTTTGCTCCTTCCTCGTCACGTTTGTAAACAGAAGACCTTTTGTATTTTATGTTTTGATGCACACTTGTCAAAATCTCATTTGAGACCGTATGCAAAGGGAACAATTGCATTCTCCCTCCTCACCCATAAGAATGGTTGAAATCGAAAAAAAAGTTGAGGTTTTATCATGAAGTCTTTTCCATGGTTTTGAAAAATAAGACATTTGTAATGTCTTATTCCTGGTTTGGTTGCTCTAAGTTACTGAAGTTAAAAAGTTGACAGCCCTTGGGGTAATTAAGACTTCTGATATATACTTGAGAGAGCTTACGAGAAGACTGGGGCTTAAGATTGCCCTTGAATTTGGTATTTTCCCAGTCTGCTGCCTGGAACAGGTGTTTTACCATGTGTATTTCCTTACAGCCACAAAATTTTGAGAACTGAGAAACTTCTCTTTTGAAAAGAAATACTATAGTAATAGTACTGACACACGAGTATCGTGTCACTTCATGGTCTCATAAAAATAGCAGATGATCTCCAGAAAGTTAAAAATAACATTGAAACACCTGTATTACAAACACCAAGCATGGTGCCTCTCACACGTCTGTCTTTCTTTCCTCCTATCCTTTTCCCTCTTCTTCCTTCCCCATTTTAACAGATTTTTATTGACTATCCAGTTTTGAGGCCCTGGAGGTACAGATATATCGAAAGGATATAACTTATAACTACTTAAGTTTCATCTTGCCGTGTAATACTGTATTTTATCCATGATCCATCCACCACACGCTGTCCCCCAACTGGTAGGTGGTCCTGTGGTTCACAGATGCTCCGCCCCCAGGGAGTAGACTTCCCCTCCCCCTCCTGTGTGGCCGGGCCATGTGACCAGCCTCGCAGGGAAAGGTGAGCAGACAGGCTTGTGCCAGGTCTCAGCAGGAGCTCTGCGCCCGATGGGGGTGCTGGACTTGCTGCTCTCATCTTCCCCTCTGACCTCAGATGGGGTGACTCAGGTCAGAGATGCTCCTTGGCTTTGGATGCAGGTGGAGGAGGTCGTGGTGCAGAGCTGCCGCCCTGAGCCCAGCCAGGGTGAGCGTCCCGTGAGCAGCAGGAGCCGACTAGTCCTCTCCCGTCTCCTCGCCGTCCCTGGAACATGGAAGTGTGGTCTCTTCAGCAGTCTTATTCTGCTTCATGGGACTTAACTTATTATCTGTCTTTCTGTAGGTGAATGTTTGTTTATTGTCTTTCACACAGTAGGATATGTGTCCCATCGAGATGGATTTGGTTTTGCTCATTTCTCCATCCTAAGTGCTTGTCGTGTTGAGCACCTGCAATAAAATTGTTAAGTGGATGAATCAAGTGAATAAGGCTAATGTAATATCCATCACAGCATCCCTCCAAAACAAAAATAGTCATTTGACGCAACTCTGCCGGTTCTCCATTTAAAAAGTACTGTGTCCATCCTGTTGATGAACTTCAGACAACTTCCCTTGAACTAAAGGCTAAAATGTATACAATTATATCTGTATGCGATATAGGGACGATTCCCGTCGTTCTTGAGTGTTAGTATTACTCAGGGTAACTGAAGCATATGGCAAAGTAAACTGAGAGTCACCTATATTAACAAACTGATGCCTTGTCAGTGTCCCTGACACATGGTTTAGGACAAAACCCTTTTGAAATTGTAGCAGAAGGATTTTGTTTATCTGTATCTCATTTATTAGCCTAGCTTTGCAGCACTCGCTGGACCCACGTTGGACCCGCGGGAGCAGAGGTGGTGCAGTGCTCTGGCACCCTTCGGGCAGGCCCTTCATTTCTCTTTGGCTTGTGCCTAATTTCCGCTTAAACCCTTCACCCCATCTTGGCGTTCGTCTGCATTGCCCCTTCATGTCCTGATGTGAAGGACCATGTCTTCATTTTGTGTGTGCATTTCTTCATGATACATTCGATGGGTTGCCCACTAGGACACAGGTCTTTTTCTTTGGGCCTAGGAAAATAACTCATTATTTATTTATTCAGTGTTCTACCTTGGAAATAGCCCTGTCATTTTAAAAATTGATTTAGAAAGAAAAAAATTTGCAAGACAGACTTATTTATTTCTCTGCATTGACAAATGTGTTTGTGGTTTCAGTGAGATTTAATGCTGCTGCTTAATTTTGTGATGCTTCTAAGGGGAAGGGGAAGTGATGAAATTAAGGGGAAGTTCCACTTTCTGATTTCCTTGGCAGACATCTCCTTGGTTATATGCTTTTGTTCAAGTTTTTTTTTTCCCCCAAACTTATGAGCACTGGCTTAATGTTTCAGATATCCATCTCTCCTCGAACAACAAACTCTTTCCACTTACCAAATGACCCTTCAGTCCCCATCATAATGGTGGGTCCAGGAGCGGGTGTGGCCCCCTTCATTGGTTTCCTGCAACACAGGTATGTGTCGCTGGTGGACCTGGCTGGGAGTGTAATAGAGCATTTTTTTGGTTTCTTCTGAGGTTTTTAGGATATTGGGATTCAGTTGTAAAATTTTTATTTTAAAAAATTATTAAGAAATGTGTGATAGCATAGCGTAACTTGTCACTGTGGGAAAAGTGAATATATGGTCTAGAGGTTTTTGTGCTGGAACTTCTGTTTTTGCTGCAGTATTTATTCCCCCACCACCCAGCCTGGACTGTAGATGATAGCACATGAGTTGGGGACAGGTTCCAAGCACATCGTGATGCTGTGCTGATGTGCAGCTGCCCCATCTGTGCCTTTGTCGTTCAGTTGCTCAGTCACGTCCCGTTCTTTGCAGCCCCATAGACTGCAGCACTCAAGGCTGCCCTGTCCTTCACTATCTCCTGGAGCTTGCTCAAACTCACGTCTGTTGTGTCAATGATGCCATCCAGCCATCTCATCCTCTGTCATCCCCTTCTCCTACCCTCAACCTTTCCTAGCATCCATCTGTTCTTTAACTGGGTCGTCACAAAGACCCAGTTACAAAGACCTGTTACAAAGACCCAATTACAAAGACCCAGCATTTCAAAATCAAACCCCTAACACCAGTAATTTTCGACAGAATATTAATTCATGTATCTTCATATCAGGGCATAATTATTTGATATAAATAAAATTGTGCTTCTCTCCCTGTGTGTGAAATAACAATTCTTACATAATGCTCCCCGGGTAGTGTAGTAATATCTTTCAGACAAAATCTTTGTGTAGTTTTTTTGTTGTTGTTTGTTAAGAAAACAAAAAAAAGGGACATGTCAATCATGTCTGAAAATTGCACAGCAGAGTGTTGTACCTTTTAGAGCCCTTTGCCACTTCTCTATTACGCTAATTGAGAGCTTTTAGTCATAAGATTGTTGCTAGTATTTAGTGTAGAAAGTAGTCTAGGTTTCACAGTGTGGTCATTCGAATTACCCCTGCTCTGGAGATGTCATATAAAGGTCATAGATGTCTCAGCCCAGAGGTAAGCTTACTTTCCCTAGTGTCCGCTGGAGTGGCCAGCTTATCCTGTGGACGATGAAGTATAAATTCAGCAAACAGACTTTGAGTGACTGCGGAGTTGGGTTTTATAGACCTACCTGGAGAGGCAAAAAAGAAAGAGCGATTGTGTTACCTATTCTTCCTACCAGACCTCAGCTTTCTTTTCCCCTTAGAGAGAAGCTCCAGGAGCGACACCCAGGGCGCCGCTTTGGAGCCACGTGGCTGTTCTTCGGCTGCAGACACGAGGAGAGGGACTATTTGTTCAGGTGCTCGACAGCCTGTGTTGTGAGGCTCCATGCTCTGCAGTTGGCATCTCAGACTTCTCCAACTTCAGATTACAAACCTTCCACTGACCTGTTACGTATCATGTTTCAGAGATGAGCTCAGACACTTCCTCAAGTGTGGAGTGCTCACTCACTTGGAAGTCTCCTTCTCGAGAGATGCTGCTGTCGGGGAGGAGGAAGGCCCAGCCAAGTACGTGCAAGACAGCCTCCAGCATCACAGCAAGCAGGTGGCGGGGGTCCTCCTCCAGGAGAGCGGTTACATTTATGTGTGTGGGTGAGTGCAGGGGGCTGGGGACAGTCGGTGGTGTTCACTGGAGAAACCAGGGGCCCACTGGTTAACAGTCCGGACCTGTATGGGTGGGACATCTGATTCTCAAGTACAGGAATAGAAATACAAGTTCTAAAGCTATTTTTACATACCCTCGCTAGCCAGGAAGTTGTTATTAGGAAAACAAAGTGAAAATTAACTCATGCAGCCCTCCCTGGGTCCAGTGGTTAAGACCGTACTTCCACTGCAGGGGGCATAGGTTCAGTCCCTGGTTGGGAAACTAAGATCCCAAAGGAAAATTAACTCGTATGTTGCGAACTGCTCTGTGCTATTTTAAATTAGGTTTCTGTGTTTGTTTTTGCTATATGTAATTCATTGTTCAATTGATTTTGATCAGTGAATACTAAACGTGTGATTTGTGCAGTTGACCTAGGAAAACAGCTTTGGTTTTGACTGAAAATGGCTTCCCTCATAGCTCAGTTGGTAAAGAATCCGCCTGCAATGCAGGAGACCCTCGTTTGATTCCTGGGTCAGGAGGATCCGCTGGAGATGGGATAGGCCACCCACTCCAGTATACTTGGGCTTCCCTTGTGACTCAGCTGGTAATTAATCTGCCTGCAAAGCGGGAAACCTGGGTTTGATTCCTAGGCTGGGAAGATCCCCTGGAGAAGGGAAAAGCTACCCACTCCAGTATTCTGGCCTGGAGAATTCCATGGACTGTGTAGTTCGTGGGGTTGCCAAAGAGTTGGACATGACTAAGCGACTTTCACTTTCACTTTTTACTGAGAATGTGAATTTAGGATTTTTTTCTTAAGACATAATTTGTAATGTCAAAGTTGACATAAGCCAGGAGTCATTCTTATGTTTCATCTACTTTTTGAGACAAGATACATTGTAGAAACCCAAGATTGCCATAGGGAAAAAAAAATTTAGGAACTAGCTACTTGTTTTAATGGAACTCAAAATGTTTGCTAATTAAAAAGGAGTTTTGAAATGAGAAGCTACACTTTTTTTTTTTTATCCTAGCACGTCCCTGCCTGGTGTTTAAAACATTCTGTTAAGTTATCAGGTTGAGTTTTTTGTTTTTTATTTCTAAAACTGACACAGAAAAAGAAATACTGGCATAATGACCTGGAGTACATATAAATATAATTGAAAAGGTTTATAAAACAGATCTTACTTTTTGGACTTACTCTCTGTGACACATTCTGATGACGTCTATTTGTTTGTTAAGAAAGCTAACTGGCTCCTAAGTTGATTTCATGACCTATTAATGACTCCTCAGCTAGAAGAAGTTGCTTTAGGTCAGAAAGGACCGAGCTCCTGGATGTCGTGTTGGTTTATGTTTTCATGTAGCTTCTAGTGAAGCATTTTGTCTTCCTTTTGTTTGCAGATGACAGTGCTGTCAGATTTAGGCTGAAGTTTTAAATGCAGCTCTAAAATAATGGGGGCAAAGTCCATGTACAAACATACATGTACTAGTATATGAATAACTGGTACTTGAGAACTTAAAATGCTAGCCCAGAAGTAACCCCTCACCATCACTGCTGCTTCATTCTTTCACCTCCGGGAAGTGAGGCTGATAGCACTCATAGCCGGCCTGAGGTGAGGCTCAGAGCGAACCCCCCTTGGCCTCTAGTGTGGACCAAACAAAGGGACCTTGAGCAGGAGAGCCACTGAGGAAGGCGCGAGCTTGTCCCTCAGCCCAGGGGACACTGTCTCAAGGGGGAGCCTTTGCTGCTGAGAGTCAAGTAAGAAGACAACGCGGGGCACGGGAGATGTGGCAGCTGGAGCCCCGGCTGTGCGGAGGGGCCGGGGGTGGCCTTGAGGTGCTCCTGGCGTGCTTGGGGGGAGCGGGAGGAGGACGTTGGGGCGGCCGTTAGGGCTTTCTCAAGGAATCTCGCTGGAAGGGGAAGGGCGAGTTCAGCTCCCAGCACAGTGGAGTCTGTCCGACAGTTACTCATGCCGCAGACGTCGCAGTGCCTGCCGAGTGCTTCTTCCTGTGCAGATGTCTGGAGATGGGAGGTGAGCGAGGTGCTCTCCACTCCAGCCGCCCGCTTCCCGTGGGAGAGCTGGGGCAGCAGTGCTCACGGCGCAGCGGGTGCTGCGTGGGTCCTCGCCCGGCCCGCAGTGAAAGAGCTGGGCTGTGGCAATGCACCGAGAGGGGGCAGCCCTCAGCAGGCTTTCAGTGACACACCTGTTAATAACCGTGTGCCCATGTGCCCGCCGGGTATGAAGGCTTAGATGTGGCTGGGGAGCTCCTTGCCCCCAGGACGGCCTTGAGAGTGGAGGGAGGGCAGAGACGAAGAGGGCCTGGTGCGCGAGGTCCTCAGGCTCTTCAAGAGTCCGCTGCTTCTGGAGCACAGGGCCCGCTGAAGGGTTTAAAGCTGTGGATGGGGTGGTCAGCGCTGCACGTGCCGCTGGTCCCTGGGCAAAGGCCTGGCCTTGGGCGCGGGGGTGTGGTGGTGACCAGTGCCTGGAGACCTGAGGGTCACTTTCCAGAGAGATGGAGGGGGGGCTGCAGTGTGGTGGCCCAGGCCAGGCCTGAGATGCATGAATGCAGGAGGACTTAGTGCACAGTTCCTGTTCTTAAACAGAACGCTGTTACTCTTTTTTTTCTAGGGATGCTAAGAATATGGCCAAGGATGTCCACGATGCCCTTGTGGAAATAATAAGCAGAGAGACTGGAGTTGAAAAACTAGAAGCAATGAAAACATTGGCCACTTTAAAAGAAGAAAAGCGGTATCTTCAGGATATTTGGTGATAAACCTGGAAAGTAAAAGAAGAGAATTAAGCTTTTTTTTGGCGGAAAGTACTAACATAAAACTTGACTTGAAGCTTGGGACTTTCAATGTTTAAATTTAAAAAAAAATTTTTTTTTCAATGTTTCTTGGAGGAGATGGAGTGGGGCGTGGACTGTTTTAACCATACAGGAAACTTTCAATTCAGCTTTCCATACCTCCCCCACTCACCCCTCCCCAAACCACCCTGAGCAGAAAGGCAGCCCTGACTCCTCCACCAGCACCTCCCGGGCCACCTCTATGCCCTGGAGAATTTTTGCAGGGACGTTGAACAGCGCACTGGGCATCTCTGTCAGTGCGTGTGAAGGCTTCTCAGCACAGGATGTGAGCTTCGGAGCCAACGTGGTAGGTGGTCAGGTCTTGTGAACTTGTTGCCAGTTTTTTTAATAATCTAAAATTAATTTATATTTTATATGAAATACACCATGAAGAGTATTCATAAGTGTATTAAAATTACATATGTATAGTAAATCTGATTACATGTTTACATATAATTTTATCAAATGGTTTATTACCGAAGCTATATTTCTGATAAAAATATTTTAAGGTAATGCTTACAGTGATTCTTTTCTTGATGCTAGAAATATAAGCTATATTTTGAAATTCCACTCTGGCATATGATTTACTTAGCATGGTTATTTCTTCTTAATATCACAGTTCGAGAATTTAAAGAAATTTGCATTCAGATTATAGATCCATTTCCCATCTTTTGACTTCTGCCCCTTTTGGTGTACTTTTAAATTTTCCCACATAATTTATTGTTATTTCTGTGATTGTAACCTGGGCTTAAAATACCTACTTAATACCCTTGTATTTCATAAATTCCTACTATTGTCTGAATATTTATGTCCCCCAGCTTCCACCCTGCCCCCCAATTCATATGTTTGAATCCTCACCTCTGATATGATGGTACTAGGAACTGGGCCTTTGTGGGGTGACAAGGTCATGATGGTGGAGCTCTTAGGAATGGGATCAGTGCCCTTGTTTCAAGACGCCCCACAGGGCTCCCTGCTCTTCCTGCCCTGTGAAGAAGACACAGTGTGAAGTTGGCATCTGCAACCCTGAGGCCTTCACCAGAACCCAACAACACTGGCACCTGGTCTGAACTTCTGGCTTGCAGAACTGTGAAAGATTTCTGTTGTTTATAAGCTACTCAGTGAGATCTTGTTACAGCAGGTCGATTGGACTACTGGACTAAGACAATTCCCACAGACCCATTCTCTTTTAGTATTTGTCAGAACAGAAAACAAAGTATAAAAGGGGCATGGAAATTTTTTCTCCTAGTCTCTGGTATATATTATTTTTTTAATTAAAGAGATTGGCATTAAAAAAATCTCTACCTGTCAAAGGGTTCTGGTCATTTTGAAAAATAAATATCTAAAATAATACTGTGTATAATCTTAACATTTGTTAAGACTTCAAAGCAGTTTGTTATAACCTCTAATCTTATATTTCATGTCTTTTACAATAGAAATACTTCTGGAAAAACTTACAAGGCATAAGAAAACATATCAAGCAAAATTATGTGCACATGTTATACGTTAGCCAGAATAGACTTGAGGTGAAAACACGAAAAGGGACAAAGAACAATATTCCTTGTTGATCATCCTAACAAGAAAATACAGCGAAGAACTTGTGTCCTTCTACCAGCGCTGCCCGTCCATATTGCTGTGTCAGTTGCTCAGTCATGTCCAACTCGTTGTGACTCCATGGACTGTAGGATGCCAGGGTCCTCTGTCCATGAAATTATCCAGGCAACAGTACTGGAATGGGTTGCCATTCCCTTCTCCAAGGGATCTTCCCAACCCAGGAATCAAAGCTGGGTCTCCTGCAGTGAAGGCGGATTCTTTACTGTGAGCCACTGGGGAAGCCAAAACTGACAGATCCTGAAAGAGAAGCTGAGGCGCGTTCATAGTGGCTTCAGGTGCTGACCTGAGCCCTGTGGTTTGTGCCCAGCATGCGGGTTATTTCTGTTAGGTTGTGAGTTACCAGGTTCACACGAGAGTTAATCAGCTGCTCCCTCACAGCCTTGCAGCAGATGAGGGTAAAACTAGATCCCAGGCCACATTCTGCAGCAAACGCAGCTGTTGAACAGTTTTATTTATTTATTAGCAGTTAGGCACAATGCTTCCTACAGCCAGGCCTGTAAGCTCAACGAAGTTCCAGCACTGTCTCTCTAGGTGGTCCAGTCACATCCTGCATAAAAAGTTTCACATCAAGGTGGTTGTGAGATTCACAAGGGCAGACTTTGGTTCCTCTCAGCATCGTGAGCTGCATCACCCCGCCTCCCTCCGAGTGGCTGGACACAGTGCTGTTTTGGGGTTACGCCTCAGGCACTACCCCAAGAGTCTTGCTAGAAAAATCTTTTTTGACCTTGTTTGTGTAGAAATGGGGAGTACCTCTGAATTAATATAGTCAAACTCCATCATATCTTAGTACACTAGGTATTCAGTAAGAGCCCCTTTCTAACCTCAGTTATTGTAAGAAGCTACCGTTGGACCCATTACTTTCGGTAGCATAAGGCTGATCAGTGATGAAATGAGCAGAAGAGCTTGAGGTAGCCATCAGCAGTATGGTTTTCCTCATTAGAATGCTGACTGCACCTGCAGGGTTCTTACTCTCTCTAACACACCTAGGTATCTGTGCTGGAGTATAAACTGAGTTCCAGACACCGTAATACTGGAACATCATCTACTTAGTCATAAACTGTCAGATTAAAAAATGTGGGAATGTGAACTTCACAGCCAGCAAACGAGATGGCGTGTGAGTCACATCCAGGCACCCACACTGGTTTCAGATGCTGGAGACAGTTTTAAAATTGACCATGAACTAGGCCATAAAGGGAGACAGCAGATGGTGTGAAATAAGGCATTGTTCTCTGGTCCTGACAGAGTTAAGAAGCAACTATAATCAGCCCAGTGAGGCTGCACTGAAGAATTTTTAAACCCATGCAAATGACTTGTGGCGTAGGAAATGAAAATGGATTACAGAATATTTAGGACTGATTTCTTCCAAAGTGCTAAACATACACATGAGTTGCAGCCAAAGCAATACCCAGAAGGAAATTTCATCCATTTTACAGGTATTTTCAGTGCCTCCTTCACCAGGTACTGAAGTACTGTGGCAACAGCAGTGAACAAAGTTGATAAAAAGCCTCTGTTCTCAGAACTTGCATTCTTACTGAGGAGAGCCATAAATGAATGAATAAATATCAATTATGATGTCTGAGAAGATAATAAAGCTTGTGGGAAGAGGAACTAAAGAGTCTCCTGATGAGAATGAAAGAGAAGAGTGAAAAAACTGGCTTATAGAGCCTCTGAGTTCCCTGAGACACAGCAAGTTCCCATTGGCTGTCTATTTTACGAATGGTAATGTAAGTTGCCATGGTACTCTCTCCATACATCTCACCCTCTCCTCCCCTCTCCCCGTGTCTATAAGTCTGTTCTCTATGTCTGTTTCTCCATTGCTGCCTTGCAAATAAATCAACCTAGAGGGGTGGGATGGAGAGGGAGATGGAGGGAGATTCAAGAAGGAGGGGACATATGTACACCTATGGCCGATCCATGTTGATGTTTGACAGAAAACAACAAAGTTCTGTAAAGGAATTATCCTTCAATTAAAAAACAAAAAGCTGGCTTAAAACTATATATTCAAAAAACTAAGATCATGGCATCTGGTCCCATCACTTCATGGCAAATAGATGGGGAAAAGTGGAAGCAGTGACTCGATTTTATTTTCTTGGGCTCCAAAATCATTGCAGACACTTGCTCCCTGAAAGGCAAACTATGACAAATGTAGCATATTAAAAAGCAGAGACGTCACTTTGCCGACAAAGGTCTGTATAGTCAAAGCTATGGTTTTTCCAGTAGTCATGTGCGGATGTGAGAGTTGGACCATAAAGAAGGCTAAGCACCAAAGAATTGATGCTTTTGAACACTGATGCTGGAGAAGACTCTCGAGAGTCCCTTGGACAGCAAGGAGATCAAACCAGTCAATCCTGAAGGAAACCAATTCTGAATACTCATTGGAAGGACTGATGCTGAAGCTGAAGCTCCAATACGTTGGCCACCTGATGGAAGAGCTATCTCATTCGCAAAGACCCTGATGCTGGAAAAGCTTAAGGGCAGGAGGAGAAGGGAGCAACAGGGGAGGAGATGGTTAGATGGCATCATTGAGTCAGTGGACATGAGCTTCAGCAAAATCCGGGAGATAGTGAAGGACAGGGGAGTCTGGTGTGCTGCGGTCCGTGGAGTCAGAGTTTGACATGACTGAGGAACTGAATAACAACAAAAGCATGGAAACGAAAGAGAGTATAGTTTAATTAGTGTAAAAGGAGGCTTCAAGAGGGCTTTTGTGGTGGCCCCGCAGTAAAGCATCTGCCTGCCAGTGCCAGAGATTCCGGTTCAGTCTGATCTGGGAAGACCTCACACACCCTGGGGAAGCAGCCCATGTGCCACAACTGCCAAGCCTGTGCTCTGGAGTCTGGGAGCCGCAACGAGAGTCACAGCAATGAGAAGCCTGTGCCCTGCTAGGGAGTAGCCGCCACTCACTCAGCAAGGCTTCCTGATAGCTTGGTTGGTAAAGGATCCGCCTGCAGTGCGGGAGACCTGGGTGCGATCCCTGGGTCGGGACGATGGCCTGGAGAAGGGAAAGGCTACCCACTCCAGTGTTCTAGTCTGGAGAATCCCACGGACTGTATAGTCTAGGGACGACTGAGTGACTTTCACTTTCACCACAACCAGACAAAAGCCTGCACAGCAATGAAGATCCAACTCACCCAAACATAAATAAATAAAAATTATTAAAGAGAAGGCAGCTTCAAGAAATATTGCAGGAGATGGATATTTTTATAGTGATTAGTCAATTGATGAGAAAGACATGAAAATCCTAAATATGCATGCACTTAGTAAGAAAGCATAAATGTTGTGTTGGCCAGAAAGTTCTTTTGTGGTTTTGCTATTAGATGTTGTGTGGAAAAACCTGAACGAACTTTTTAGCAACTCAATATATTGCTAGAAAGCAAAAACTGTCAAAACTAAAAGGAAAAGGCAAACCCAAAATCATAGTTCAGAAAGTTGACATACTATATGGAAAAAAAAGCAGACAATATTGTTAAGTGTTTAAACAAGTTTTAACACAATAGGAGCTGATTGACATATATAAAACACTAACACCAACAACTTCAGAATAGAACATATCTTCCAGTTTACATTGAATATTTACCAGAATACACCAACTTTCAAAAAGATGGAAGCTGTACAATAGGTTTTCTGAGAATTAAAATAGCTAAATGAAACCAGAATAACCTCCAAATATTTGGAAAATAAGCAACACAAAGTAACCTATGACTCAAGAAAAAAAATCACAAGGAAATTAGAAAATATTTTGATGAAGACAAAGACATTTCAAAATTTGAAGTTTGCAACTAAACCAATGCTCTGGGGGAAACTGTTGTGTCTAAATTCTGATCAAATTAAAGAGGCTTAAAAGTCAGTGATCTAAGCTTAACTACTGGGAAGTTGGAAAAGGACCAGTACATTATGATCTTTTAAATGTATATTAATTATAATATACATCTTAATGCATATTAATTATAATATACTTTAATTTTAATTAATGTCCTTTAATTGTATTAAATGCCAGCCATATGAAAGAATGCAGTAAAGATAAAGGAAGAGTCCAATGAAATAGAAAAAAAAATGCAATAGAGAAAAACAGTAAAACAAATGTTAATTGTCTTAAGTTTTTTCCAACTTTTTTGAGGTAAAGTTAACAAATAGCGTGCGTGTGTGTGTGCTGTCTCATCCAACTCTCCAACTCCATGGACTGCAGCCTACCAGGCTCCCCTGTTCATGGAATTTTCCAGGCAAGAAAACTGGCATGTGTGCGTGCTAAGTTGCTTCAGTCATGTCTGACTCTTTATGACCCCATGGACTGTAGCCCGCCAAGTTCCTCTGTCCATGGAATTTTACAGGCAAGAATACTGGACTGACTTGCCATTTGCTCCTTCAATGAATCTTCCCGACCCAGGGATGGGAACCCATGTCCTGATTCTCTTGCATTGACAAGCAGACTCTTTACCACTGAACCACCTGGGAAACCCAAATAAATAAACAAATAAAATTGTATATAATGAAAATATATAGCATAATGATTTGGTCTGTGTAGACTTTGTGATGTGATTACCACAATCAGGTTAATTATCACATTCATCGCCTCACATAGTTAACATATTTGAGTGTGTGTGATGAGAAGGTTTAAGATTTACTCCATTTCAAGTATCCAATACTGCACTGTTAACTACAGTCACCATGCTGTGTGTTAGATCCCCAGAACTTATTATTCTTAAAACCGAAGGCTTGTACCCTTTGGTTGGATCTCCCGTTTTCCCCA